GTCCAGGTGCACAGGACGGACGTGGGCGAGGAAGCATGGCGAATGCAGAAAAGCAATGCACAGCCTACAACAGCAACTACTACAGGAAAAACCACTAGAACGTTACGGTCAAAACTCTTCCTGCCTGAGTCCTTGGGTGTGAGTGCTTGAAGCTGCTTTGGCTGCAATCGCGTTTTGGTAGGCATGGAGCCGAATTTGTGGGTGCCATAAGAGGCGGTTGGGCCGTGTGGCTTCACTGCTCTCCTCATTGAACTGAGCTAAGCGCTGACGCTGAATTTGGCGCCTCCGAACTTGGAGGATCTGAGTGCAGCACCGAGGCATACACCACCGTCCCGGAGGACTACACACTGAATGCTAAGGAAGGTTTCGGTATGCGACGGACCACCTGATGTCCAGGTCTCAAGCGACCACACATCAGAGACTTCGGACTGGTAGCTTCATGGACAGCAACTGCAAAGAGGAAGTGCAGAAAGTCTGTGGCTGACACCTCAACCTGCCTAACTAAACCACAACGCCAGCCTGAACCCCCAACGCACCGAAGGACACGGCAAGGACTGAGGAGGTGGACACTGGCACTCAGCAATGCATGCATGTGTACTCGCTAAACGGGGTTCTCGGCTTAGCCCCAGGCCATCCAGAAACCAGCGCATACCAGACGACATGAACTCAAGCACTGACTGTTTCTGAAGTTATACCACAGCTGCAGGAGAACGACTGAGCGGGGTTCTTGGCTTAGCCCCATGCCATATCCAGAGAAGCGCAACCAGAATAATAATAGCCAAGTGAAACCAATGTACAGCGAAGATGATATACGATGTCAAAAACGGCAGGTACACACGGTTGATCAGACCGTGCTTCACCAGGGTATCCAGAGTGTCTTCGTTGGTGGCAGACTCTGGACCCTGCTGCCACCCCCTGCTGTGTACTCTGTGCTCAAGTTCGGTTATATGTAAATCGCAAGTAGTAAACGGCTGCAGAGCGTGAGGAGAAGGCCCTTGGATACAGGGTTGTCACACACACACACACACACACACGTGAACAACTGTAACACATTTGCGACTGCACACCATAAACGTGTTCCTACGCATACATACATACACAAATACAGAAATGCATAAATACATACATACACATACAAACCTAGGTATACCTACCTACCTACCTATCTACATGTCTACATACATGCATGCATACAGACAGACACACACTCACACACACACACACATACATAGATACACACATGTATATAAGCACATACGCACATACGCAAACGCACATACACATATACGTTCGTACGTACATACGTCACATGCATACATGCACACAAACACACACACACACACACACACATCTGCATATATATATATATATATGTAGATAAACAAGTGTGTGCGTGTGTGTGTGTGTGTATGTACGTTTGCAAGCGTGTGCATACATACAAATATGTACATGCAGACGTACCTAGCTACATGCACGCATGCAGACGGACGGAAGGACAGGCAAACATACGTACATTTCTACATCAGCATGCAAGCAGCATGTTCCTATTCATGCAAAGCAATACTGTGGCAATTCCAATGGCCACAGAGCTGCCAGGCCACGTCTTGACCCCGTAGCCACCGAGGAAATGCAGATTCTGACACAGAGTTCCTCGGAAAGCACAAGCTCGAAGATGCTCGAAGCTGTCGACGCCCTTAGCCGAGAGACGCCCTTGAGGCGCAGCCTGGAGAAGTGCGGGGCAGGCGTCGATGAAGAAGGTCCTGCAAGGTGAGTCGCAAAGTCGACTGTAGCTGCTCGACAGACAGACGGAGTAACATGCAAAGCTTGCAGACCAGCCGCTCGATTGGAACCTGCTTCTCCCCCGTCAAGTAGGGTATGAGGCCTGCCAACAAGAAAATGACCCTTTGTTGATGCGAGAGAAAAAAAGGGAGCAACGGTGGTTCACTGTCAGAGCCTTCGAAGCCCTCGTTCACTGGCAACGCCCGGCCCACGCAAAGAAGCGCCTGCACTGCAGAATCACCCGGAAAACGTCCAAGTCCAACTCTGGTGCTACTTTGAACCGGTTCATGAGTACGCAAAGCTCCATGCTATCTACTGCCAAACCCCAACACCCTCACCCGGCTGCACAGATGCCAAGTCCGACAGTTCAAGCAGCCTCAGCACCACCAACCTTCGCCGCCTGCGCCTTGCCGGGCTATGCCGGGCTCAGCTGCTAAAAAGAAGGCAAAAGCGCATCCAAGGATTTCTTGAGTCCGGCCTGCACAGTAGACAAGAGCTTGTCCTGAGACAGCATGATTCCAAAGAGTGGGCGAGTGCAAGAAAAATAACATTCAGTTCGCAAACCCGGACGCAGACTCAAGCATGTGGCGTGCACATCGTACGGAATAGCTTCCAACACTGGGAGTGCAAACATCTTTCTCACCAATCCATGCCCAAGTCTCCAGGTTGCCGCGCGCGTCCCCGCTCACGAAGACTTTGTGAGGTCGGGCCTCCTGCGCCAACTTCTCTGCAACCTTGCGCTTGAGTGCCTAAGCTGTTCAGGCGCAGCGCAATCCGCTAGGCAGCAAGTCCCCCTCCTCCTGTCCTTCCTGCACCTTCCTGCACCTTCCATCTCTAACCTATTCCCTTTGTCTTGCGAGTTGCGGCTTCTCTCTCCGCCTTGGAAGGTTCGAACCCACAAGCTGTCACAGCACCTCACTGCCCACATCTGCTCACCATGACCGGGTCTGCAGCCTGTTCCCGCTTCTTCTTGTCCTCAGCCTGTGCGGCTACGGCGGTGGGCAAGGCCAAAGCAGAGACGAACGTTGCTGACACGCGGCCTGCTTCTTGATTCTATCCAGCTCATGGAAGCCTCAAGCTCTCCCAGAAAATACAGTCAGAAAACAGGGTCCGAATATTGCTTCAGTCACGTGACGGTCCATCATGTAGGCCTCAGCGTGCGCCAGGCTTCAGCTTCTTCCCTGAAACCTCCTCATCCAAGCCCAAGCCGCATTGTGCTCACGTTCCGCCGCTCTCTTCCGGGCGCGCTCTCGCGCCTCTTTCCTCAGCAAAAGCGTGTCTGAGTCTGCGTAGTACTGCGTCTTCCAGGAAACGAGCCAGAAAAGATTCGCGAGCGCTATAGCGCTGGCGGGCTACTACCCCACTATAAAGGAGAGAAAAGTCACCAGAAAAAAACGCGAGTGCTGCCGCTGCGGGGCTAATCAACGAATAGGAAAGTAGAAGGGTCAATTGATCCAGGACGGAGCAGGACCGGGCCCTCCATTATGTGTTCATAAATTACGACTACGAAAGACGTGGCTGCTTCTTCTGCGCCGTTCTGGAGGTTTTCTGGCTGCTTTTCAGCGCCATTGCATGGGCCAATATAGAGCCCTTATACTACACTTCTAGAGCCCTGCAGTGCGATTCTCTTGGTGTCTGGAAAGAAGCCTTGGGCCAAGCAACATGTCGTCCGTCATCCCGGCTGGATGCCCTCGCGAGCCTCGAGGACTCCGAGGTCTCAGAACTCAAAGCTTCAGGAACCCTCCTTTGAAAGGCCTGGTGAGCTTCTGGTGGGAGGGATGCAACCGCAGCACGCCGCGGCCGTTGCACCGAACCTGGGCCCTCCAGCGGGTCTAGGGGGCCAAGCTTTGGCTTCGCTGCGCTTGAGAGCTTGAGAGGCTGGGGTGGGCTCGGGGAACCGGGGGGGGATGGGTACTAAGCCTTGCAGAGAGTCAGCGTAGGGCATGGGAACGGTGACTTACGGGGCCAAAGGACCAGGCACAGCACGGCACCTCAGACAGTCAGCGGTTCACTCATTTCCGTGTCCACCGAGTCCTCTCGTGGCAGATCTTGGCAACTGCTTGCTTGCGGGCATTTCTCCCGCGAACCCAGTTCGACCCCTTACGGGCCGTGCGGGCTGCGGGTTCTGGCACTCCCTTAGCCTCTCGCTGGGTGGCGGCAATGCTCTCAAGCGCAGTGGCCCAGTCCCCCCCGGCTCAACAAGGACTTGGTCCAGTGCGGGAGGGGCCTGCAGGCTTCAGATTCAATGGGATGCAGAGGCGACAGAGCAAGACCAGGCTCACTGTCGGCCAAGGGCTTCTCACCTCGCCTGTACTCCCAAGAAAAACTACCAACCCAAGAGGAGCCTTCCCTCCTCTACAGTATGGCTCCGCAAAATTGGAATGCTCATCCAGCGTGCTGCTGGCAAAGCCTAATGCACTCGAGATTCTGAGATAGCTGCACGCAAGCACCGGGCTTCAAGCAGAATTCGCTGCAGGTCCACCCATCAAAACAGCCTCCTCGTCCCAAGAAGAACCTATGCACAGCGCACGCACTATCGGCACCTTTAGAGAAAGGGATCAACTCAGGTTCACACTCCACAATGCATCAGGAGTCCTGGCAAGCAATGCAGCAAAGCACGCCTCAACAGCCCTTCCTGTATAGCAGATTGCGCTGCACCTCCCAGTCTTGCCACGAAGAACCTAGGCACGGCGGCACAGAACAAACACTCTTAGCACGGTCACTGCAAAAATGGCTCTGTTCAGGTTGACAGTGACAGGTGGTGACGGGCGACGCCTCTTCGTTTGCATGGAAGGGCCGTCTATATGCCTTGTCTTTTCTCTCGCGACGTGAGCCACGTGAATTGTTCGACGCTCGCGGCACGCCAGGAGCGGTTGCCTTGCGGCTTTCAAGCTTATAGAGCTGCGTCTGAGCTCCATCTCGACTCGTATCATGCTGTTGCCAGCGGCCACTGTGGCCAAAAGCTGGTTCGGACGGAGCCTCTGCCAGACCACAGAGTGGGATTCCGGCGGCTCTTTGCTAGCTCATGCAAATGTGCAAAACACCGACACACCTGAAATGTAAGGGGGGGTCTTCGCCCTGACAGGAGTCGTGTTGTCGCCTCCACGAAATTGAATTTCATAGCCCCGGAAACACAGGGGGCGCATTGTACTAGGTCTCGCATCTGGGTACTTGCAGTCTGTTCCACACCCCTGGACAAAGCTTGGACCCGACACGCAACCTCACTTCAGCCATTCGAAAATGTACTTTGCGCCCGGGGTCATTTCGATGGCATCATACAAGTCGGCCATGTTGTGGTTGATTCCGAATGGTCTTGTCGCTTTGGTCAAAACCAGGGTGTGATGCCGAAAATACTCTGGGCCGAGGGTGTTGACATACCCGGTATCCTTGGCGCAATTACCTCCGAGCACGACTGCTGAGAACGTGTCCTGCTTGAATAGAGTCAGCGCTCGCCAACCTCTGCTGCCGCTAGGACCGCCTTCTGAAAAGCACACCTTGTTCTGCAATTCAATGGTGACACTGTCTCCATCTCGCGCGGTGTACGGCCCATGGATTGTCTTGCCCACTCGAGTCACTCTTATAATATCGCCTTCGGGGAATTCATGAACAACGGGTATGCCCAGGCGCATTCGGTGAAAATCCCATACGTACTGGATCGCTGCTGGATGTGCTCCATTTCGAGACAGGATGAGATCATTGATCACACTCGACAAAGACATGTGAAATTTCCGAGCGATGACAAGAACCATGCCGACTTGGCCCAAACCAGCTGCACGACGCAAGGCGAGGGTCTTGTTCACAGTCATGGGATCTGAAATGGTCACGTTCTTGCTGAAGTTTGGGCTGTTCACGCCCTCCTTGTCGATGTGAGCAACCATCTTCTCCCGTTGTGCTACAGGTCCAGCTCCGCGCAGGGTCAGATTTGCACGGCTGACATTTGTCCCTTTCAGGACTGCCGCGTTGTCTGCCACTTCACCCAAGCGGCGCTCCCACCCAACGGCGTTCAATCGTGGCTCCAAATGGTCTTGCCAAATCAGCAGAGCTCCACACATCAACACAAGGCTCAAGGTTGCTGTGGCGCCCGGCATGTTTTTGGGCAACATTTAGGATTTAGGAGTACAGGCGAGGCAGCGAGACCCACTGAAGAAGCCAAAATCTGCAATTGTCGGCACTATGTCGGTGCAGCACCAGTGGCACACGCAAGCACCGGGCTTCAAGCAGAATTCGCTGCAGGTCCACCCATCAAAACAGCCTCCTCGTCCCACGAAGAACCTATGCACAGCGCACGCACTATCAGCACCTTTAAAGAAAGGGATCAACTCAGGTTCACACTCCACAATGCATCAGGAGTCCTGGCAAGCAACGCAGCAAAGCACGCCTCAGCAGCCCTTCCTGTATAGGAGATTGCGCGGCACCTCCCAGTCTTCCCACGAAGAACCTGGGCACGGCGGCACAGAACAAACACTCTTAGCACGTTCACTGAAAAAAAGGATCTGTTCAGGTTGACAGTGACAAGTGGTGACGGGTGACGCCTCTTCGTTTGCGTGGAAGAGGCCGTCTATATGCCTTGTCTTTTCTCTCGCGACGTGAGCCACGTGAATTGTTCGACGCTCGCGGCACGCCAGGAGCGGTTGCCTTGCGGCTTTCAAGCTTATAGAGCTGCGTCTGAGCTCCATCTCGACTCGTATCACGCTGTTGCCAGCGGCCACTGTGGCCAAAAGCTGGTTCGGACGGAGCCTCTGCCATACTACAGATTCTGGAGGCTCTTTGCTATCTCATGCAAATGTGCAAAACATCGATACACCTGAAATGTAAGGGTCTTCGCCCTCACAGGAGTCCTGTTGTCACCTCCAAGAAATTGAATTGCATAGCCCCGGAAACACAGGGGGCGCATTGTACTAGGGCTCACATTTGTCATTTGAATCCTTCGTTAACCAAAATCTGCAATCAGGATCAGGTGACTCAGGAAGAAGTGCCAAAATCTGCCCCCACATAGTGCGGCTGCACGAGTGGCACGCGCAGAGTGCAACTGAAACGTACTGAAACTGCATGATCTGCAAGACCGTTACACATGTAGGACATCATCGTACATCACACGATCCACCATTTGCCCATGGGCAGCGGTCCGAAAAGCAGATCCTATGCTACCTGGTGCTGCCAGAAAGCCTCAGCAAAATCTTGTTCTGCTGGAAAACATTGGCAAATCAAGATGAGTCACCGCTGCACGAGCTCTGAGGGACACTCAGCGGGATAGCAGAGGACATCGTAGTGCCATGTAAATGTGTATGTGTGGCCTACCTTCATTTGCAATGCATCTTGCAACAGCCATACATTCCTCCCAAAGTTCAGGAAGCCCGCTTTGGAGAGTACGATGTGGTACTTCGCAATGTCCACAACTGTCAAACGATTCCAAGGCTGGTTATGAGAGCCGCCGATAGACACTAGGTTTCTGTTGAATTCTGCCCCTCGGTGAAGTGTGATGGCCTTCCACCACGAAACGTGTTTCCCAGCCTTGAGCTCGAATCCAACAGATGGCTGCGACAGACCCTGGAGCCTCGAGTCTTTTCGGACACTCACAGAAATCCAGTCTTCAACTCTCCCTGGCGCGTCCATCTCAAGCTTGAACATCTTTTCTTGGCCGTCCACCATGCGATCAAAGTACCAGGTTTTCATCCTTTCACAAGGAATCTGGTTTGCGATTTCATCGTGCTGTCGCATCGCGTCATTATACACGTCTGCTCCCAAAGAAAGCAACGTATCCACGGCACTGAGGGAGTCGTCAAAAATAGCAGAACGTAGGGTGAGGGTCTTGTTCACAGTCATGGGATCTGAAATGGTCACGTTCTTGCTGAAGTTTGAGCTGTTCGCACCCTCCTTGGCGATGTGAGCAACCATCTTCGCTCGTTGTGCAACAGGTCCAGCTCCGCGCAGGGTCAGATTTGCACGGCTGACATTTGTCCCTTTCAGGACTGCCGCGTTGTCTGCCACTTCACCCAAGCGGCGCTCCCACTCAACGGCGTTCAATCCTGGCTCCAAATGGTCTTGCCAAATCAGCAGAGCTCCACACATCAACACAAGGCTCAAGGTTGCTGTGGCGCCCGGCATGTTTTTGGGCAACATTTAGGATTTAGGAGTACGGGCGAGGCAGCGAAACCCACTGAAGAAGCCAAAATCTGCAACTGTCGGCACTATGTCGGTGCAGCACCAGTGGCACACGCAAGCACCGGGCTTCAAGCAGAAATCGCTGCATGTCCACCCATCAAAACAGCCTCCTCGTCCCACGAAGAACCTATGCACAGCGCACGCACTATCGGCACCTTTAGAGAAAGGGATCAACTCAGGTTCACACTCCACTGTGCATCGTCCCACGAGGGGTCCTGGCAAGCAACGCAGCAAAGCACGCCTCAGCAGCCCTTCCTGTATAGGAGATTGCGCGGCACCTCCCAGTCTTCCCACGAAGAACCTAGGCACGGCGGCACAGAACAAACACTCTTAGCACGGTCACTGCAAAAATGGCTCTGTTCAGGTTGACAGTGACAGGTGGTGACGGGCGACGCCTCTTCGTTTGCATGGAAGGGGCCGTCTATATGCCTTGTCTTTTCTCTCGCGACGTGAGCCACGTGAATTGTTCGACGCTCGCGGCACGCCAGGAGCGGTTGCCTTGCGGCTTTCAAGCTTATAGAGCTGCGTCTGAGCTCCATCTCGATTCGTATCATGCTGTTGCCAGCGGCCACTGTGGCCAAAAGCTGGTTCGGACGGAGCCTCTGCCAGACCACAGAGTGGGATTCCGGCGGCTCTTTGCTAGCTCATGCAAATGTGCAAAACACCGACACACCTGAAATGTAAGGGGTGGAGAATTTTTTTTTGCCCTTTTTTTTTTTTTTTTTTTTTTTTTTTTTCCCTGCCCTGGGCTCCTGGGTTCTCTGTATTTGCACAGGAAAAACAGCTCTTCTCTCGGGATTTTCTGTATTTCCACAGGAATCTCCAAGGGAAAACACTGCTTTCCTATGGATTTCTTTCGTTTCCTAAGGATTTGCTTGGTTTTTTCTGGGGAAAACACGATTTTCCTACGGATTCCGTTGTATTTCTCTAAGTTTTCTTTGGTTTTTCCTAGGAAAAAAACTTATTTTCCTATTACCTACGGCGTTCGTGGCATTTCTTCAGGTTTTCCGAAGGAAAACATACGTTACCTAGCTTATTCCTCGGGAAAATCAAATTTTTCCTACAATTTCGCATTTAGGACGGATTTCGTGGTGTAGTTGTTGCTAGTAGTGTTGTTGTTGTTGGCGTTGTGGTTGTAGGTGTAGTATGTTGTAGTTTTAGTTCTAGTTGTAGGGATAAAAAACCCGAGGGTCAAACAAAAATCAAAGAAGGATCAAAAAATGAAAATACGGCAATTGCAGCCATTCAGCGTGATTGTTCTGTCTTTCTTACTGTGTTGTTCTTATTCCCTTGTGTTTTTTTGGGTTTGCGTTCTGTATTTCGTTCGATCATTCCTTGTCTGTCTTTCTGTGGTTGGTTCTTTCCGTTTATCTTTCTATTTTTCGATTTGTTCGTGATTTATTTCTTCCTGTCTTCCTTCCCTTGGCTAGTAGTGTTGTTGTTGGTGGCGTCACTGCAAAGTCCTTGCTGGTTTACCCAAATTTATAAGTATCATAGGATCCAAGCATCAAAACAAGTTAAGCAAGAAAAAGAACGACATCCGAAACTATGGATCAGATCTCGAACAAACGTAAGCACAAACGATAAACCACTGCCAAATTTAATGGGGTTTTAGGCTTCAGGGTTTTTGGGTTTAGGGTTTAAGGTCATTGCACTCTGACTAAGGTTCCCATACTGCAAGCCTCCACTGACAAGGTTTGCCAGGGTCTAGGCTTCAGGGTTCAGGGTTTAACGGCTTTCTGGTTTTAGCGCTTCAGTTCTAGGGATTCAGGATCAGGTCTCCTCGTCGTTGTCGGGCGCGACGTGCTTGTAGTTAGAAGCCATGGCTGCGGTTTCGCGCCAGGGCAAGGGGAAATGCTGCTGACGTGGAGGATCAGTGGACTGAGTAAGGCAAAGCATAAGTAGTTTCTACGTTTTCGTTTGTGTACTCGTGTTCTTTCTGTTCTTCCTTCGCTGTTTCTTCCGGGGCGACGTTAGTTCTCGCTGAAACTGCGTCAAGCCGATTTAAGCGTCGCACCCCTAGGACCCAGGGCAAAAAAAGCACAATGAAGCGATAGTCTTACGTATCGTTCTTCTTTATTTTCCGCGTCTTTCTTGTTCCTTTAACTATTTCTGATTGTCTTTATTAATTTATGGCCTTCCGTATTTCTTTATTTCTCTGTTTTTGTTCTTTGGTTATTTCTTCATTGTTTGTTTTGTTTTTGTTTCTAACTCTCTTTGGTTCTTTCCCTTGTGTTTTCTTTGTTCTTACCTTATAGCTTTCTTTATTTACTTAGTTCTCTATTCTTGTTTTCTTTTTTACTTGTAGCATCCTTTATTTGTTTATTTCTCTAGTTCTTGCATGGCTCTCTTTCTTTCTTTCTTTATTGATTTCTTTCTTTTGTTCCTTCCTTCTTATTTACTATATATACCATATTGATTATATATACTATATATACTATATATACTGTATATAGTATATATACTATATATACTATATATATATATATATATTATATATACTATATGTACTATATATACTATATATAGTATATATACTATATATACTATATACGTACTTTATATACTATATATACTATATATACTATATATATTATATATACTACTTATACTATATATATACTATATATACACACTATATACATTATATATACATATTATATATATAGACTATATATATAATATATATAAAAATACCGTATATGCTATATATACGATATATATACCAGACATATATATATATATATACTATATACATATATACTTTATATACTATATATATATACTATATATATACTATATATATACTATATATATATATACTATGTATTTATATATATGTACTATATCTACTACATCTACCATACATACTGTATACACCGTTTATACTACACATACTGTATATACTATATATATATATATACACACTCCGTCCTTCCTTCCTTCCTTCCTTCCTTCCCGCGGCAGGGCCCCTCTCTCCCTGCCTGCCTGCCTCCTTTACTTCCTTCCTTCCTTTCTTCCCTCCTTCCCTCCTTCTTCCTTCCCTCCTTCCTTCCTTCCTTCCTTCCTTCCTTCCTTCCCGCGGCGGGGCCAACAAAAAAAAAAAAAAAAAAAAAAAAAAAAAAAAAGGGCTAAAAAAAATAGGGTCCCCCCCTCAGAGGGCTACAGTGGTTCCATGCCTGCAATCAAAAGCGGGCTCTTTTCCTCAGTCACTTGAACCCCGTCGGCTGCGAGAGTCGTCGTGTGCCTTGTGGCTCCTTCGAAGCCTGTGCACTGCTATGCCACATGACTGGATGGGTGACTGGCAGATCTGTACTTTCACACACCCTCTGTTATCAGTCACCCATCTTACGACGCCGTTGTTGAGCTTTCCACTCTAAAGACTTAGATTCCCTGACCACAATGAACTCTCCCTGTCTGAGCACGTAAAGCAGGTAATCGATAGACGCATTGCTCTTCGTCATGCCGTCGACTACCATCTGCTTCGTGTCAAGCCATCTTAACACCACGTTGCTATCGCTCAAGTCGCTCTTGAGCAGCAACATGTCAATGGCCACCCTCTTGTCTTTGACGACGATGCCGTCCCCCTGTGAGTGATCATAGATGGGCTTGTTGTCTGTGGCCACCATCATGGGAGTCAGATTGCGAAACTTGAGGTCCTCACGCAGGTTGTACTCCCGGTGACTCGCTTCGGCCCACAATGATCGCATCCAGTTCGCTTCTGCCACAGCTCTGGCTATGGCCATGAGTTCTGCGCCTAGTGTGGACTGTGTCCTCCGTTCCAGCTTGTAGCTTTTCCATCGCAGAGGAGACATCTTGGCCCACACCTCATTTCGAATTTCACGGTCCACGGCCATCGTCATGTATCCAGCCTGCGTCTTAAGATCATCCGTGTTGCTCCAGCTGGCGTCAGACACCGCTAGGAACATCACTTGATCCACAGGTATTGGCCGGTACTTGATCTTCACCTTGGACAGGTCCTTGATCCGCGCCACAAGCTTGTTTGCGTCAATCATCTCCTGCACGGTGGGAGCTCCCAGCTTCTGCTGAAGGATTGCTGTCTGAGCAGCAATGTCGGACCGTGTACTTCCAACTAGCCACGACGCTGCTCCAACAACTCCACGAAGCTGTCTAAGCTCGGATGCAGTGAGTGGTTGATCCTTTTGCTTGCGTCGATCTCTGTTGATGTTGATGATCTCCACCTTGTCGGCATATTCCTTTTGGCTGCACGTGATGGTCTTGTTCTCATCCTGCTCCAGGTATCTGCCAAGGAAGTCGCCTTTTCCGATTCTCCAGCGCTTGAACGGATAGGCTTCACGAAGCTTGTTCAGCACCGTGTCGTGAAACTTCTGGTTCCCTGCAATGACCATGTCATCTACATGCACGGCACAGATTCCTCCAAGTTCGTCTCCGTCGAACCACAGAAGAACACATGGGTCCAATTTGGACCTGCGCATTCCTAATCCTTCCATGGTGCCCATAAAGCTGTCATACCACTGCCGAGGCGCGTCCATCAATCCATAGACGCACTTGATGAGCTGTACCAGGGAGCCTGGCGCTGCTCCTGGTACCTCTTCGTTCGGCATCTCCACATAGATGGGGCCGGCGCTCCTCTCCAAGGGCTTGCCCTGTAGAAACGCACCCTCGACATCGGCAATCTCCAGATCCCAGCCTCTAGATGCTATCATCTGCAGCACCATAGCCAGGCCATCACCTGACAATGTAGGTGCCTGCCGAAGCAGGGACTCCGCATCCGGATCCAGATAGCCCTTGACACACCATCGGCATTTCAACTCTTTCTTTCCCGGCAGCTTGGGATGAGGCCGCCTTGTTTTCACAAACCTGGACTTCAGAATACGTGATGGATCTATCTGACGGCGAAGAATCTCAGCTTCTGGTCCACTGATCACCTTGATCGCTCCAGTGCTAAGCAGCTTTTGCCACTCCTTCGATTTAGCACCAAGTAGCTCTTCTCGCTCTGCTGGATCAAGGTCACGTTCCCGAATTTCTGCACTCCTCAAATGTTGTGCGATGAAGGCGTCACTCTCCCGAATCTCGGAAAGGTTCACCTCGATGTCCTTAGCATGTTCCTCCAAGACCTGAAGGAGCGACGCTTCAAAAACATCCTTCTCAAGCTGCACTCGTTCGACTTGAAGACCTTCGTCATCTCCAGGAACTGGCACCTGTCCTGCTGCAGCCAGCTGTTGAATTTGTTCCAAGGTCATGTCTTGGTTCACGACATCATCAATCTGCTGCTGGCTTAGTCCTGCTGCTCTTGTTCCCGGTCTCGCCGTTGACATCAGGTCTCGTCGAAGCTCACTTCCTCTGGTCTCACGAGGTGCTGGCCCATATCCCTCAGAAGTCGAGGGTCTCCTCGATCCAACCTGCGTGGATGGCCTTCTCGATGGAGGCTGAGAGGCCGTGCGTACCGAACCAGCTCCCGGAACAGTGCTCTCGGCACCATCTTCTTGCTGCTCTCCAGGAAAGAGCTCGGGAAACAACGGATCATCACGACTGCTGTCCGAAAACTGCACTCGTGGTCTCTTGTTCTCAGGCTCAGTTCGTACATCCATCTCCTCATCAGGAGGTGGTCCTTCGCCGGAGATATCCGCGAAGGTCTGGGCACCCGGACTCGCGTGCTCCTGTCGTCGTCGCAACATCTCAACCGGAACCAGTCGGAATGCTGCCTCCTGGTCTTCGCTCAGACCTCTCAGCTGCTCAGGGCAGCATCGCAGCACTTTCTTGCCATGACACACCCATATCCTTGAGCGGTTCTCGAGCATGCCAATGATCCTTCCGGGCCCTTTCCACACACCCTTGTTGCCGACAAGCTTCCGATAGTAGTACACTAGGTCACCAACAGAAAAGGGACCGCGCTCTTTCCGAGTGCGGTGTTCAATGGCCCTCCGCACTTTATCCTCGTTATCGGCTTCCACTAGCGCCCTTCTTGCCGCCAGTCGAATTGCTTGAGCTCTGACCACATCATGGTCACCATGTAAGTATGCTGAATTTGACACAACACACGCATCTTCGTTCAGAATCGAGTCAGGAAAACGAGGGCTGCATCCAAACACATGTTGACAAGGAGCATACCCGTGTCTCTTCATCATGTTGTTCTTGGAATTGTTCACTTGATCAATCAACTGGTTCACTTCCTGTTTGCTGGTTGGCACACATTCCTCGAAGGCTTTCGAGAAAATCAACTTCCAAGATTGGTTATTTCTCTCGCACAAACCGTTCTGCCATGGAGCCTCCGCTGCTGCTTTCTCCGTGCACGTGCCTTGCACGTCCAGGGCGTTCTGAAATTCTTTATCAAACTCTGACCCCCCATCAGAAAACAGCTTAATCGGAACCCCCGCCCACCGAGTCCAGCTTTTCCGGTAGGCCTTGGCAATGTTCTCAGCAGTGGCCCCCTTCCACAAGGGAGCACAAATGTGCATGGAAGTTCCTTCACACACGATGCTAAGACACTTCAACTTCTTTTGTTGGTAGATCGGCACCTCAAACACATCAACACAAACCTGCTGATTGAATCCCTCGGCCCTCCGATGCTTACTCACCTGATGAGATGGCATCTCTTTCCTAGCCTCGCACGTCGCACACTTCAAACGCTTAGCACATTCTATCGCCTGATCCTTGGCCTTGGCGGTGCGAAGCATGTAAAGGAATCTCTCTCGAGAGGGGTGGCCCAGGTTGACATGACACCTCCGAATGGTTTCCATGAGTTCTTTGTCGCTCCTAGGATTGTTGAGTTTCTCCGACGCAAGCACTTCCACTCCTCTTCTGTTTCTCTCCTTCTTGCACACACGCAACACAGCTCGCACAAACGGTTCGGTTTCCACCCCGGCGCACACCTTTCTCCTCACCTTGGCTTCCCCGATGCGAGTTTCACCTTCCCGGTTCTCATGTTGGTGGTCCCCCCGACACGCTTGTTCCAGGACTTGTGTGTCACGCACGTTGGTGATGTACTTGCGGCTTTGCTGAAACATGTTCCCCGTTTGTGGATCCTTGCTTCCGAAACAGCACGTGTCAACATCAAAACATCGAATGCTTCCGCAGCCTCTCTCTCTCACTCTCTCCCTCAACTCTTCCACTCTCTCTCTGCACATGCCGTCCGGAACTTGCAACAAGAACATGCCACTGGACTTGCACACACGCTCACAGCACTGAATGACATGCTCTATGCACTGCTCCACTTGCTTCCTAAGGTTTTGCCTCTTAGCTTCCCTACGGTCTGGCATCAAAACACTGGGCGTACACAAAAGAAAACGTGGCTCGCAACAGGCAACTTCTTGAACAGCATGCTCACATGACTGGCTGCTTGCTTCAAGTTGCACCTCACGACTGACGAGACCACACTTTTGCGCAAACGGCTCGAGAGCCCGACAGGACAGAGCACTTCCCAGCACGACCACCATAAATCACATGACATAACTCGACCATAGGTTCAGAACTTGGCTCTGCCCGTCCTTGCTCCTGGCTATCCAGCCAATCGCAATTCCTCTCTAGAAGCTTCCGAACTTTCCTAGACATGACGCGCACTGGTGTGGTGTGCCCATCATCAGCCGATGGCTCCGCATCGGTCGGAATATCACCTCCGAGCGGCTCCTTGATGCCTCCCGGGGCGCTGCTATCAGCTAGGTCAGCTGCTGCAGCACGATCTTCTTGCTGATGCCCATGTCCAGGCACAGCTTGCCATCCTCTTGATCTGGTTTTTGTCGCTGGCCAGAACATTGACCGTGAACCACTTCCAGCCGTGCAAGGCATTCTCCGTCACCTCTGGATCCACCGCCACCCATGGTTCCATGCTGTCCTCGTCGAGGTTGTCCAGCTCCATGGAGCCCCGGCTGCGGTGCTCCCGTGCCCTCTTCGGGCTGCCCGCTCGCATCGGCTTCTCCTTCTTGCCCATCTGTTGACGGGCTGTCTCCTGAATCCGAGCGGCCTTGCCCTCGTCGCGGAAAGCCACATAGACCTTGAACTGGCGCATCACCTTGGAGCTCTTGTTGCCAATGTGCGTCCTCACCCAGTTCACGTAGTCCTTGTCGTTGATGTAGATGCTGGCGTACGTCGTCTTGCGGGTCTTGTATTTCCCCTCGGTCATTGGTGTATTGCCCGGAATGGGCGCGTCGGCATCGTCGTGACTGCCGTCGGACTGCTTGTCCAGCGTCGCGATGTCCGTCTCCACCGGCTCGAGGGAGAGCTCCTCCATCATCTGGAGAATCTCCTTGGTGACGTAGCCCGACATGGGTGCGCGTCCGGCTGGCTGATCGTGGTTGATCTCGCTCTACAGAATGGCACTCAGAGCCACCAAAGTCAAAGAGCGGGATGGCGTAATGACCTTTCGCTGTCTCTTTCAGGTTGAGTTCTACCTTGAGGCCAGGAAATCTTATCCTATCATTGCCCATATCAATGATAGCCCCCAGCTTCCTCAGAAGCTCTTTGCTCAACAACAACGGCGTGTACCTACCTTGATCTGGCAGCACCGCCGCCTTAATGACAAGACGGTGCTTCCCTAGCTTAGCAGGAATGCTGGCCACTCGGTTGGTCATCATGGTTCCAGCGTTACCGAACCTGAACACATGACTCTCCTCAGCAAACTTCACTCGCAGACCTAAGTCTGCAATCGCTTGCAAATGCACTCCAACGTGTACTCGCCCACGAGAGTCTTGCGACAGGCTGTGTCCGGCACGCCACTCGAGTCAAGGCTGGCAGCATTCTCTGCTTCAAAAACTTCTGGAAAACCTTTGTGCACAAACGCAGCCACGCTCTCCGTCTCTGCGCTCAGCACATCTGGCTCATCATCGCCGGCGGGGTTCATGACACGGTCCGGAACCACTGTGCCCTCGCCCTCGTGCAGGAAGAAGTCCTCATCCCAGCCTTCGGTCATCAGCACCTGGTCTTCGGCCAGGTGCGTCTCCTTCTGGTCTGGCGGTCCATTGGCCTTCTTCCCCGGGCACTCGCGCTTCCAATGTCCCAGCCGTTTGCAAAGGTACCATCGCGTTCTCGCCTTCAAGGATTCCAGCCGAGCATTCACGCTGCCCGTCAGCTTCCACCTCTGCTCGTCGCCCGGCTTGGCTCTTGGCACCGGTGCGAAGCCCCTTGCCTTCTTCTTTTCCAGCAGCCGCTTGCGAACCTCAGCGTAGCTCTCGAAGGCTTCCACGGCCCCCTCGTCGCTAAGGTCATTGTCCTGAATCTCCTCCGCCACGCTTTCCATGACCATCTGCACCTCGTCCTCTTCATTCGGGGCCTCTGCTTGAAAGGCCTCACGCTGCTTGGGCGCCGGTCCTGCCTTCCCTTCTGGGAAGATGCTCTGCACAGCCTTCCACACCTGCGCCATGTCACCGGCCGCCGCGGTCAGCACCATTGCCTCTTGATTGGAATCCAAGCGCAACTTCTTCAGCAACAAGTAGCCCTGAACTACTGAACTACCTTCGGCAACTTCACATCCTGTTCCTCAAGAAGACGGTTCGCCGAAGTGAACCGAACATAGAACTGCCGATAGCTCTCTCCTGGATTGGCTTGCAACTCGTAGAAAAAGGTCTTAAGGGCGGTGTGCAACAGGTCCACCGGCTGCGGAGAGTACTTCTCGTCGAAAAGCTTGAAGATCGCCTTGTCTCCTCCATCGGCACAGAGCGTCTCCAAGGAAACACTCTCAAGCAGAATCTCGGCCTCACCCTTGACATACTCCATCAAGCGAGGTCCATACTTCTCCTTTGGCACCGTTGTCGGGAGCCCTGCGATCATGATCTGAGCCCTCCTTTTCCAGCGCCGGTATAGCGTTGGATCTGTTCCATCGAAGCGCTCAAGTCTCTGCTGGCTGCCAAGGTCATCTGCGGCTGAGGTAGAACTGCTGGTCATCACTGCCGACACGTGAAGCGCGCCTCCTGATCGGAGACTCAGCTGGCACCTTTCGCTACCAGCTCCGCTACCACTCTAACCCTCAGAGGGCTACAGTGGTTCCATGCCTGCAATCAAAAGCGGCTCTTTTCCTCAGTCACTTGAACCCCGTCGGCTGCGAGAGTCGTCGTGTGCCTTGTGGCTCCTTCGAAGCCTGTGCACTGCTATGCCACATGACTGGATGGGTGACTGGCAGATCTGTACTTTCACAGGCGGCTCTTTGCTAGCTCATGCAAATGTGCAAAACACCGACACACCTGAAATGTAAGGGGGGGTCTTCGCCCTGACAGGAGTCGTGTTGTCGCCTCCACGAAATTGAATTTCATAGCCCCCGGAAACACAGGGGGCGCATTGTACTAGGTCTCGCATCTGGGTACTTGCAGTCTGTTCCACACCCCTGGACAAAGCTTGGACCCGACACGCAACCTCACTTCAGCCATTCGAAAATGTACTTTGCGCCCGGGGATTTAGGAGTACAGGCGAGGCAGCGAGACCCACTGAAGAAGCCAAAATCTGCAACTAGAATTCGCTGCATGTCCACCCATCAAAGTAGCCCTTGGCTTCGAGCTCCTCGTCCCACGAAGAACCGAGCACAGCGCACGCACTATCGGCAAGTTTAAAGACAGGGATCAACTCAGGTTCAGCCGTCTGAAGGGCACCTATGCAGCGACAGGCATGCTCCCGCCGCAGTGCCTTCCGTCAAAGCACAGCACAGCACAGACCATACTAGTGGGCAGGTAACAGAAGCTGCACTTGAGAGCTGGTCACGAAAGCTAGAAGCACGAGGTCCGGTGCTGAGCTCTGTAAAGCGATGTGCGCGACAGTAGCGGAGGGAATGTTTGGGCCGGTGAAGGGTGCAATGCAGAAGCTAGACATGCACTGAAACTATGCCAATCAGTCGCCGAACGTCAGACACAAACAAAACCAAGGGACCTTGAGGAGGGGGGGAAGGGGGGGGGACCTGATGATAGGGGGGGGGGGGGGGGGCCCACCTTATTCCAGGCACAACCACCTTAAAGGAGGGGGGGGAGGAGGAGGGGAGGGAAGCGCACCTTATCAGTGGCAAACGCATAATGACAAGGTGAAAGGGGGGGGGGGCCCCCCCCCCCTACCCCCCACCTTAACTCTTGGACGTCCCACCTGAGAAGGTGCAAACCCTCTTTTTTCCCTAGTGCCTTAATACAAGTGAATTGCTAAAGGGCAACTCCCGCGAGCTCCACAGAGCTAGCTTTCGTGACTTAAACGGCGTCCGCTGGTAGATGATGTCTGCTGTACCACATATGTGATAGCCTCATGCGCAGACATGCAGACAAGTTCAGGCCTGGCCCCAGACCCCGCATGGCCCCGCGATTCTCGAGCGGTGCTGGGCTTTGAGGGCCCGCACGCGGCTCGAGCGCCGCTCAAAGCTCCGCAAAAGGCGGTGCCGCAGCATCCTGCCACTCTGGTTCGAAAGCTTCGAAGGGGTGTAGACCTGCTCTCACTGGTGGGCCTTACGAAGCCCCCGAATCTCGATCCGTCGACACTTTCAGGATTCACACGCGTGGAGATAGCAGCTTAAATGATACCAGCGATGGCAGTGTCTCACAAATGAACAAAGCCGGTCTGCCTACTGAAAGATGCTGCAATGGTCACGAAGCAGACAAGGAGCACAAGGGCCTACTGCTACATCGCAACTCACCTTCTCTCGACTAGACCCACGGGGCAAATCTTCCCTCATCCAACGTGCATGGAAGGCATTCGCACACCTGGCCTGAGTTCCAGAGCCCTGCACTCCCAGCCCGCCGCCTGCCAACGAGAGCCCTCCACTTCTGGAGGCTTTGCGGAGTCCTCGGCCCGGTACGGAGTTCGGGTTGCCGGCTTCGGCTTCCCGGCTTCCCCTTTCTTAGCTTCGGTTAGCCTCCAGGCGCTGGTCGAGGCCCTGCGGCCAGCCGCTCGTCAGCAAGACATCGATACCCCCTGAGTGACTCACCGACACCCACGCTGAGGAGTCTGAGGAGCATGTGAGAAGTGCCAGGTCTACTCTTTGGGACGGGAGTCATGGAGTCATGCCCTTGGGTTGGACACGAAGTGTCCTTGGGTTGCGTGCACTACACTGCCTCGACTCGGTCGTTACGTGGCCAAGCGGCTTTTCCATTTGTCCTCTGCGACGACGCGCCTGGAGCCAGGCAAAGGAGCTCTACGACGGACAAACTGAGTTGCTGAGTCGTCCAAAGATAAGTGGCTGTAGCATGTTTGTGCTATTTGAACCTCCAGTCTTCAATCGTTAGCCGCTTGTGAAAACCGTTGCAGGTCGCTTTGTCCACACCATGCTCGCTAAACCGGACCGAAGATTGACCCATCGCAACATTGAACCGCATCGAAGGAATCCCAATCGCCGGCTTCCCGGCTGGCCTCAAGCCACTCACAGCATTTGCTGTGAATGCGCTCCCGACAAAGTCTGTGCCAGGTGTCTCATACCTTCAGCAGATGCATGATGCCAGAATAAGAGAGAATCATGAAAGCTTCAGTCTTCAGCACTCGAGGCGTGGAGGCTTGCGATGTGGATCATAGGTCGGATCCGGCCACTGCGGCATGCATAGCTTCACAAGACGCAGAAGGACGACAACAGCTAGCGATTGCGAGTACTTCGCAAACCAGGTATAGCATCTATACGTCAACAAATAACTATATACATATAGATATACAATTATATACATATATGATTTCTATTTGCATCACGAGGATATACTGCCACTGGAATCTCCAGGCCAAGCGGCTTCTGAGCATCGTAGTCCCCAGACAAAAATGCCACCCGGAGGCCACAGATCCTGTTGACATGCAGGAAAGCGTGAACCTCAACATACTTTCAGCACATGTTCTTCCACACAGGCGAAGAAGCAGAAAGACAAACAACGTTCGATAGATCGATCGACAAACTGACAAGCAGACGGACCGACAGGCAGGCAGGCAGGAAGAAGGCAGAGGAACTGGAAAGATGAAAACAAAGATCACCCAATAAGTAGACCACAGTCTGGCAAGCCAGGTAAGAGGGCCAGTCACGAGCTCCAGCTAGCTCGCCAGTTAGCTAGCCAGCCACCAGCTGATATGAGGATGTGCACCTGTACACACGCATAGATGCAAGCACCCGAGTGTGCTTTCAGATCATCCACGCATGCAGCACATGGACACATACCCAAATGCATACGGTCATCGATACATAGATATACAGATACCTCGATAAATAGATGCCTATGTACACGTGCACATACATGCAAATACACCGTCTCAACCTTGCTTACACGACATGGCCGCACATGACACAAAACCTACGTGAAAGAAACGGCATGACGATCGATCACATCGCATCGCACCTTCTGGCCAAACACCTTTCCATAATATTAGAAAAAGGAGTGCGCTTTTACCCACACTGTGGGTGGAGACGCACTCCTTTCTCTTAACTTACGGTAAGGTCTTCACACACGAACATGCATAAACATATACAGACAATTACAGACATACAGGTACATAGTACATAGCTAATTACATGCATAACTGCATTCAGGAACATGTCCGCTTTCAATGACAGATCCACAAGAACACAAGCACGTGAACAACTGTAACACATTTGCGACTGCACACCATAAACGTGTTCCTACGCATACATACATGCACAAATACAGAAATGCATAAATACATACATACACATACAAACCTAGGTATACCTACCTACCTACCTATCTACATGTCTACATACATGCATGCATACAGACAGACACACACTCACACACACACATACATAGATACACACATGTATATAAGCACATACGCACATACGCAAACGCACGTACACATATACGTTCGTACGTACATACGTCACATGCATACATGCACACAAACACACACACACACACACACATCTGCATATAAATATATATATATATATGTATATGAGATAAACAAGTGTGTGCGTGTGTGTGTGTGTGTGTATATGTACGTTTGCAAGCGTGTGCATACATACAAACATGTACATGCAGACGTACCTAGCTACATGCACGCATGCAGACGGACGGAAGGACAGGCAAACATACGTACGTTTCTACATCAGCATGCAAGCAGCATGTTCCTATTCATGCAAAGCAATACTGTGGCAATTCCAATGGCCACAGAGCTGCCAGGCCACGTCTTGACCCCGTAGCCACCGAGGAAATGCAGATTCTGACACAGAGTTCCTCGGAAAGCACAAGCTCGAAGATGCTCGAAGCTGTCGACGCCCTTAGCCGAGAGACGCCCTTGAGGCGCAGCCTGGAGAAGTGCGGGGCAGGCGTCGATGAAGAAGGTCCTGCAAGGTGAGTCGCAAAGTCGACTGTAGCTGCTCGACAGACAGACGGAGTAACATGCAAAGCTTGCAGACCAGCCGCTCGATTGGAACCTGCTTCTCCCCCGTCAAGTAGGGTATGAGGCCTGCCAACAAGAAAATGACCCTTTGTTGATGCGAGAGAAAAAAAGGGAGCAACGGTGGTTCACTGTCAGAGCCTTCGAAGCCCTCGTTCACTGGCAACGCCCGGCCCACGCAAAGAAGCGCCTGCACTGCAGAATCACCCGGAAAACGCCCAAGTCCAACTCTGGTGCTACTTTGAACCGGTTCATGAGTACGCAAAGCTCCATGCTATCTACTGCCAAACCCCAACACCCTCACCCGGCTGCACAGATGCCAAGTCCGACAGTTCAAGCAGCCTCAGCACCACCAACCTTCGCCGCCTGCGCCTTGCCGGGCTATGCCGGGCTCAGCTGCTAAAGCAATACAAGAAGAAGGCAAAAGCGCATCCAAGGATTTCTTGAGTCCGGCCTGCACAGTAGACAAGAGCTTGTCCTGAGACAGCATGATTCCAAAGAGTGGGCGAGTGCAAGAAAAATAACATTCAGTTCGCAAACCCGGACGCAGACTCAAGCATGTGGCGTGCACATCGTACGGAATAGCTTCCAACACTGGGAGTGCAAACATCTTTCTCACCAATCCATGCCCAAGTCTCCAGGTTGCCGCGCGCGCCTCCCCGCTCACGAAGATTTTGTGAGGTCGGGCCTCCTGCGCCAACTTCTCTGCAACCTTGCGCTTGAGTGCCTAAGCTGTTCAGGCGCAGCGCAACCCGCAAGACAGCAAGTCCCCCTCCTCCTGTCCTTCCTGCACCTTCCTGCACCTTCCATCTCTAACCTATTCCCTTTGTCTTGCGAGTTGCGGCTTCTCTCTCCGCCTTGGAAGGTTCGAACCCACAAGCTGTCACAGCACCTCACTGCCCACATCTGCTCACCATGACCGGGTCTGCAGCCTGTTCCCGCTTCTTCTTGTCCTCAGCCTGTGCGGCTACGGCGGTGGGCAAGGCCAAAGCATTGCTGACACGCGGCCTGCTTCTTGATTCTATCCAGCTCATGGAAGCCTCAAACTCTCCCAGAAAATACAGTCAGAAAACAGGGTCCGAATATTGCTTCAGTCACGTGACGGTCCATCATGTAGGCCTCAGCGTGTGCCAGGCTTCAGCTTCTTCCCTGAAACCTCCTCATCCAAGCCCAAGCCGCGTTGTGCTCACGTTCCGCCGCTCTCTTCCGGGCGCGCTCTCGCGCCTCTTTCCTCAGCAAAAGCGTGTCTGAGTCTGCGTAGTACTGCGTCTTCCAGGAAACGAGCCAGAAAAGATTCGCGAGCGCTATAGCGCTGGCGGGCTACTACCCCACTATAAAGGAGAGAAAAGTCAGCAGAAAAAAACGCGAGTGCTGCCGCTGCGGGGCTAATCAACGAATAGGAAAGTAGAAGGGTCAATTGATCCAGGACGGAGCAGGACCGGGCCCTCCATTATGTGTTCATAAATTACGACTACGAAAGACGTGGCTGCTTCTTCTGCGCCATTCTGGAGGTTTTCTGGCTGCTTTTCAGCGCCATTGCACGGGCCAATGTAGAGCCCTCATATTACACTTCTAGAGCCCTGCACTGCGATTCTCTTGGTGTCTGGAAAGAAGCCTTGGGCCAAGCAACATGTCGTCTGTCATCCCGGCTGGATGCCCTCGCGAGCCTCGAGGACTCCGAGGTCTCAGAACTCAAAGCTTCAGGAACCCTCCTTTGAAAGGCCTGGTGAGCTTCTGGTGGGAGGGATGCAACCGCAGCACGCCGCGGCCGTTGCACCGAACCTGGGCCCTCCAGCGGGTCTAGGGGGCCAAGCTTTGGCTTCGCTGCGCTTGAGAGCTTGAGAGGCTGGGGTGGGCTCGGGGAACCGGGGGGGGATGGGTACTAAGCCTTGCAGAGAGTCAGCGTAGGGCATGGGAACGGTGACTTACGGGGCCAAAGGAGCTGAAGTAAAAGTAGCAAACGTGAATCCGGAGCGGCTGCAACAGAACGTTTATCACGACCAGGCACAGCACGGCACCTCAGACAGTCAGCGGTTCACTCATTTCCGTGTCCACCGAGTCCTCTCGTGGCAGATCTTGGCAACTGCTTGCGGGCATTTCTCCCGCAAACCCAGCATTCGACCCCTTACGGGCTGCGGGTTCTGGCACTCCCTTAGCCTCTCGCTGGGTGGCGGCAATGCTCTCAAGCGCAGTGGCCCAGTCCCCCCCCGGCTCAACAAGGACTTGGTCCAGTGCGGGAGGGGCCTGCAGGCTTCAGATTCAATGGGATGCAGAGGCGACAGAGCAAGACCAGGCTCACTGTCGGCCAAGGGCTTCTCACCTCGCCTGTACTCCCAAGAAAAACTACCAACCCAAGAGGAGCCTTCCCTCCTCTACAGTATGGCACCGCAAAATTGGAATGCTCATCCAGCGTGCTGCTGGCAAAGCCTAATGCACTCGAGATTCTGAGATAGCTGCTCAGCAGCGATAATCATGGCATCAGGCTCCAAGCTAATGCCAGAGTGTTTTAGAATGGGCGGCGACCGTGCCTAGCCGGGCCTAGCCAAGCCTGATCATGAGATCTGCAGTTACATACAAATTGGTGTCCGGGGTCTCGCCACTTGAGCATGCCCCCCCCATGTCTCTGATGCTCTGATGTTTGCTGCTCGCCCACTCTGCGGTGAAATAGAGGCCCCCTAAGTGGAAAATCAAAACGCATGCAGAATACGGCTTTGCACCGAGATGCATGGCGGGAACATCTGAAAGGCCTGAAGAACCTCTAAACTTGAACTTAGGTGGAAATCTCTTTCTTTTGTTTGCAAACTCTCATCAATGCCATGGCCCTGTGAAGACCAGCGGGACCCCACAAGGTTTCGTCAGGCCAGGGAGTCTGGCCGCAGCTCCGTCACTAGGCGGAAGATAACGACCGCAGCACCTCCGACGGCAAGGCCGCAGGGCCGCAGGCTCATGTACGCAGCAACACAAGGCAACGCAAGTCAGTGACAGAGCCTGTGGCCGAACGCCGAGATGACCGGAGTCATCTTCATTTTCCACTTGGAGCACCGCGCCTGACACAGGGACCGGGCTCGGCGCAGCGGAGGACCAGAGTCGGAAGCGTCTGGGTCCATAACAAGATATACAACACACTTCACCAGAACGCGATCTCATCGTCACGACGGTCATCGTCAGCAGGTTTGCTTTGCCATGGGGCTCTGGCCATCATTGTGGTTGCCCTCATAGTCGCGAGCCGAGAAGACTCGAACGAGGGACTCATTGTGCATCACGTCGAACCCTGAGCAGCAAGGGAGCATACGCACCTCAATGTGGGAAATTCCGGCGCCCGATGCGAACCCTGCATTCGTTACTCTTGTGGTGATGTAACCCTGTAAATGTCAAAGTCAATAGTAACATCTATTTTGCGTCTGATCACAACGACAACGGAAACCAGCTCAGTGGAAAGGAGCAAACATGAGAATGAACCACACATCACAAGAAGGCGCTATCTCAGAGCTGCACCCAGTCCCCACTTCTTCGACCTCAAACACCGTTGCAGAACGCTAAGCCATGCTGAGCCGCAGAGCAATCCTTCAAGGGTACTCAGTAAGCCCGGCACTGGTGACTTCGCACCACAAGGTCGAGACCGTTACGGACACAGAAGTCCTGCAAGTGTTGGCAGTTGCTGCGCTAAGGGCTCAAAAGCCAGGAATGGGTACCTGTCGATAGCAGAAGCGTTTAACTGACCAGCGAACAGATCTTGTGGGGGTGCTTTAGGCAGGGCAAAGCCGGACGCAATGTCCTGTGTGACATTCCAGCCTCAGCAACTGGAAATGCGGCAGTCACTGGACCACGCGACTCGAACAGTCCACACATAGGAGTTCTCTGACGGCGCTGGCCCTGCAACAGCGTCAAGTCCCAGACCGAAGCGCACAGCGATTTTGCTGCGTGCTGAAGCATGCCTCAAGGCTTTGAAAAAGGAAGAGGGCTTCCGCACTGAGCCCCAATGGTTGGGAGCCTTTATCCGCAGGGCTCGACTTTACCAAGATAGATCCTGACCTTCTTCTAATCAGTTCCAATTAGGCTCTATTCAAACTACGAAAGTCACAATACTCAACAGCATCTGAAAAAGTACAGCTGGATTCCTCGTCCCTCCGCCCAGAAGGGCGGCTGAGCTTCTTTATTGCTTGAAGGACCCTCCTGAATGGCTTTCTGAAACCTCCAGAAACCCCTCGTCTTGGAAAGCAATCCTTCAGAAAGCAGCACCTCCCAACCCCAATCCCTCCACCCCTCCAGATTCAGAAGCATTGAACTCCAGAGGTTCGGGCACTCCAAACACCTTGGAAACGGCGCAGTCGTCCTCGATCGGATCCGACCTGCGCCGCAGGGCTCGTTCGGGGTTTCCTCCCTCTTTGTGCTCTCGGTGTCCAGGCTAGTTTTGATCGCACAGACAACCAACACCGAGCGCCGCACCAAAGTATGTTCCAAAGGACTCGGTTCTCCGGCGCCTGCAGGCACGTAAAACAATGCGCTGTTCACATTAAACTTGACTCGAAACCCAGTACGTACTCCGCGGCTCTTCCTCGCGAACAGCTGGTACGACATTGGAATTGAAACAAGCGCTGTGCTAACGGCGCATTCGCCCAAAATTCCTACGAAGGCGATGGTCAATTTGCCACACCTTGAAAAATCTTGCATGAAACCCGCGGGCGTGGCTTCTCAAGAGAGTGTTTACGGCGGGCTTTGTGGACATGAAGATTTTTTGGGTCTTGGGGTTTCAGGGTGCTATCACCACACTATCGCCTCGTAGGGCGCCTATCCTATCGCCTTATAGTTTAATCTTAAGGGTCTTGGAATGATTGTTTTTTCGCTCAACGACGCATAGGGATCCAAGAAGTGTCCGTTGAGCCGACCTACCGACACATATGCCACACAACTTAAAGCCTGCCACAGGTGGCGGTGGCTCCTTTTTGGTCGAAGCGCAGAAAGCGCCAGGCCGAACACACCGCCCCTGAACCGGTGCCGGTGCCGGGGTGCGCACTTCTGGCCCCCACCCCTATAATCGGCGACCGGGTGTCGGCCGTCTGTACAGTAGGAAAGTCGAAAGGACAGGGTGGCGAGTGGGAAGACGAAAGTGGAGATCGAGCCAATATGGCCGTTTTGCTGATCGGCCGATCGTTGGCGCTTGTTCCTACTCACACACGTGTGCTACACAACAAGCGCTGTGCTAACGGCGCTTTAGCCCAATATCTCCTTTTTGTCGAAGCGCAGAGAGCGCCCGGCCGAACACAGCGCCACTGAACCGGTGCCGGTGTCGGGGTGCGCGCTTCTGCGCCCGCCCGGCGCACCCCCCTCCCACAAGGCGCCAAATGGCAAGATCCTCGGGCACCTGCACGTCGCCCGACGTGCATGGGCACCTCCCGCCCTGCGGGGCTTCGGCGGATTGGCGCGCCGCGTCCTGACCCTCCCAGGTCGACGGGGCATCACGCCCGGTGTCGAATGGCAAGGACGATGCCAAAGCCGTGGAGATAGGGGGCGTATCGGCCCGACGCCCGGCTGGACGAGGAGCCCAACGGCGGTCAGGCGATTCTACGGCGCAGAGAGGCGACCAACTGCTCATCGTGGATGAAGTTCGCGATAAAGACGTCGGCCCCAGTCTGAGTGCTCACGCCGCCGCGGCCCAGCGTGGGCGTGGGGCCGCCGACGCCCGGCTCGGAGTCGCGCCACAATTTGATCCTCCTCATCGGCCAAGTGGGCGGTGTCCAAAACCTCAGCCTCCGCCGGTGAAGCCGCAGGCGCCGAGCGCCAGCCGCCCAATCGAGGCCGGCTGCCGCCAGGAAGTCGGCGGCAGTCTGTGCCTCAACGGCTGCCTCGGAGGCGGCGTTGGCGGCGGCGGACGATCCAGTCGACATGACCAAGACACGGCGAGGCGAAAGGAAGACGAAAGTGGCGATCGAGCCGATATGCTGATCGGCCGATCGCTGGCGCTTGTTGCTACTCACACAAAGTTGTGGACGGGTGAACCCCAGCGTCTCAAGCACGATATGGGGCCACCGGTTACTGCAGGTGCTGTCATTGCCAACGTGTGCGACTGTACGATATCGAGCTCTTTCCATCATGGCTCCAGAACAATACCCACGCGACTCTACACAGAGCGAGGCACTGATATCCTAAGGTCCGCGGCGTGCCCGATCCCTTTAAGGTGCGCTGTGCAGTCGGCCAAATCGAACCAACAGGAACTGTCGAGAGGATGACTTGCGACGGGCATCCGCACATCCGAACTGGCCGATTCCGTTTCGCAGGACTACGGGACCTTACGGATTGAACCAACATTGGCACCATCCAGTTCCCTTGGACCTGGAGCTGGTTGTGGTTCAGCGGCCGCTGGACCTTCCGCACATCGTCGAGCTTCCTCAGAGAACTCAGCAACGAAGCCAAAACCAGAGAGAATGCGGCCCACCTCACGTCATTTCACGTCCCCAAGCGCTGCCACTCTCCCTGAATGACTCTTCTTCCCATCCCCGAAGCCGAGGTCTCTGCCACTTGCCGTCGCCAATGCCACCGTGCCTATGGGCCCCGACGCGCCCCGCAAGGCCCACCACATGAAAGCAGCAGAGCAGAGAAGGGCAAAGAAGGCCCCGGCAGCGCCAGGACCTTGCCTCCCACAAGGCAGGCCTAGGCCCATGCAGGCCCAAGCAGGCCCCCGCCAGGCCCCCCAGGCCGGGGGGAGATGCGACGCGCAGATGTGTGCTGAGAGCTTGAAACTCCAGCTGGGGCCCTGACGAAGGGAAGGTACTGGAAAGCCCGGGAGAAGGCCTCGCACTGGGATTGCGCGGAGCTGCGAAGCGAAGCGAACGGAACTTGGGCCAAAAACTCGAAACCATCCCGAAAGCGTGGCCGGCATCCCATGAGGCACCGGCAGCATAGACTCTGTGTCCAGCTTCGCCCGGGAACGCTTGCAGAATGACCTGCGCAAGGCCATGTCTTGGAGCACTGCGAATTGGAGGAGGCTGCGGCACTTCGCACTCGGGAAGCTGCGAACTATGCCCTATGCGAATCTCAAGTATTTGGGCTGTCGTCCAGTTGCAAATCGGCAACCACAGTTGGCGCCTTTTGGAAGCCGTACTTCTCGTTCATGGTCGAGTCCTGCCGACGTGCGTCTTTCAATTTGCCCACTGCATCACCACAAGTCTTCTGCCAGAACTCTAAGCAGATGTGTGCGCAACTGCACAATCACAGAAACAAATCAAATTCCGCTCTTCTGCCCAGTAGCAGCCGCGCCGCAACTTTGTATGCGTCCGAATTGCCTGGGATGTCCTTCTTTCCTCGGTTTGACCACCTGATGTCGTGCTGTGAAATGCTGTGAAATCACGTTCGGTCTATTATCCTTCCTGGGCCCTTCTAGCGTTCCCGTTCCCGACTCTGAGGTCCTCATGGTTTCCTCGGTTGAGGAACACCTGCGTCGGAAAGAGAACCTGACACTTTCACACCAGGAGTCCAGGGATCAGTCTAGGCCTATGCTTTCGGATTGCAGGCGTCCGTCTTGAAGAACTGGTGATGACGGGTTGCGAGAAGTACGGGGCCTTCAGGGCAAAGAGGACGAGCGCCGTCTCCACCTGATGCCTGCCGGACCCGGCTTTCAAGGACGGCACCCGGTACACTCAAGGAAGCGACCGAGCCACCCTGTACCCCTCGAGTCTGGAGCGAGCTCGGGCCGGTACTTGCCACGATCCACGAAGTCCCCGTTGAAGACGCAGCGAGGGCAGTCTTGGGTCCCAGGCCTAGGAGCAAGCAGCAAGCAGGAACGCCCCAAGAAGTCGTCGCAGTCAATCTTTTTCTGGCCGCCGCGGAGGCCGTGGTGGGATCGTCGTCATCACTGGTAATACTGAAGATCGGAAAAGCTCTCTGGAACAATGCACTCCAACACTGCAATCCCAAGCATCGAAGGTACCCTGCGCTTTCCAAACTTTCACCCGGCAAGCTGGAATCTGTCTTGTGTTCGGGGCTCCGGCATGCCGAAGGAATGGAACCTTGGAGTCAAATAGCAGCATCCATTTGACAGAACAACATTAAGACATTAAGAGGACCTTTGCCTTTTGCCTCTACCTTGGCTTCTGAGCTTCGACACAGAAGGAGCAAGTCTCGCAGCTGTCCATGGATGTCGCCAAATATCTTGCAAGGCACCTCTACCTGCACGGTCCGGGTGTTCTCACAGTTTGTCGTAGCACTAGCCGTTCTGCCCCGGTTGTTTGCATGCCTCTGTGAGCGACGGCTGCGCTGCGAGGACGTGCTGGCACCCGTCGATCAAGGCGAGTGCACCTGGGCGCCCACCCGGAAACACGACACGTCTGACACGGGCCCGGCTGTGGCCCGTAAGGGGCCCGGCTCTGGGCCGCCTCAGCCTCGCTCTCCGCCCCTAGGAGCCGCAACCTCAGAAGGAGGCGCTCTCGTTTCAGATTCCCTTCGTGTGTGTTTGAGACCTTTGGCTCCCCGCAGCACGTTTCCGGAATCCCAGCGACTGTGCTCCACATCCTGTCATGGGATGTCGACGCAGCGCTCCAAGCCCAAGCCCAAGCCCCTTTGATTTCGCTTCTGCAAGGTTCGCCTCTTCCTGCGCCACTTCAGGTGCCAGCTTTTGGAGCTCAGAGTACACCTGCCCCCACGGCTAAGGATTGAGCTGTGTTTACACAGCGCGTAACTGGCTGTCCCTTCATGCAGAGAGAGAGAGAGCGAGAGAGAGAGAGAGAGAGACAGAGAGAGAGGAAGAGAGAGAGAGAGAGCGAGAGAGCGAGAGAGAGAGAGAGAGAGAGAGAGAGAGAGCGAGAGAGAGAGCGAGAGAGAGAGAGAGAGAGAGAGAGAGAGGAGAGAGAGAGAGAGAGCGAGAGCGAGAGAGAGAGAGAGAGAGAGCGAGAGAGAGAGAGAAAGCGAGAGAGCGAGAGGCGAGAGAGCGAGAGAGAGAGAGAGAGAGAGAGCGAGAGAGAGAGAGGAGAGAGAGAGAGAGCGAGAGAGAGCGAGAGAGAGAGAGAGAGCGAGAGAGAGAGCGAGAGAGCGACGAGAGAGCGAGAGAGCGAGAGAGCGAGAGAGAGAGCGAGAGAGAGAGCCAGAGAGAGAGAGAGGAAGAGAGAGAAAGAGAGAGAGAGCGAGAGAGCGAGAGAGCGAGAGAGCGAGAGAGAGAGCGAGAGAGAGAGAGAGAGAGAGAGAGAGAGAGAGAGAGAGAGAGAGAGAGAGAGAGAGAGAGAGAGAGAGAGCGAGAGAGCGAGAGAGCGAGAGAGCGAGAGAGCGAGAGAGCGAGAGAGAGAGCGAGAGAGAGAGCGAGAGAGAGAGAGAGAGGAAGAGAGAGAGAGAGAGAGCGAGAGAGCGAGAGAGAGAGAGCGAGAGAGAGAGCGAGAGAGAGAGAGAGAGAGAGAGAGACGGAGAGGGAGAGAGACAGAGACAGAGGAAGAGAAAGAGAAAGGGCCTGTGAAAGTGCCGGGGCGAAGGGGCCCCGACAAGAAACAAAAGATTTATCCTGCGGAACTTGTGGTGGCCCTGCCTGTCGTGCCGCCTTGGTGCAGGCCGCCTGGCAAAGTGCATCTGCAAGCATGCTTGGGAGCCCTGAATTTCCCTGTACTTCCCTGCGAAAACGAAACTGTCCTCGGCATCGAGGGCTGACCTGATGCACACCAGAAACTTACAGGGAAAATTTCAGCAGTGTGCAACGTGGCGCCGCAGCGATAACTCACCGTACGGTACGAACACGTCGCTGCTCTCCGCCGTCTCTAGCTCTTGGCACCGGGCCGAGTCCTCCTCTCATGGATGACGCGCTTCGGCACCTCTTGCACCTGCCTCGGTGAGCTGACTCTGATATCGTCTTGGAAAGGGGCTCTTTCGGGAAGGGGTACGTACGGCTCCGCTTCGTGCACCAAAGCGCTGGCTCGGCACCAACATGGTCAGGGTAGCGCAGGAAAACAAAAGTATTTAGATTAGGGTAGGCTTTGCAGGATGGTAGGGTAGGTTGGCCACGTCGGATATGGAGGGTAGGTTCCCAAGGGTAAGCCGGCTAGGTCGCAGGTGTGCGGCTCTTTACGGTGGTGTAGCTGACCGAACGGGTGAGCTCGGGTAGTGCTCACCTTCTGGGACTCCCGGCACTTCTCCGGTCTCGTAGTCGAGGTAGTCATACTCTCGATGGATGTAGACCTGGCTCTGTCAAGTGCCCAGACTGTCGTCTGTGAGGAGAGGAGGCAGGAATGGCAGGAAGCAAGCTGGCCCGACCGATGGGCCGCAGTCCTCCCAGGGCATTTCAGTGACATGGGAGACTGTGGTTTCTGTTGACGGAGATACACGCTTGCAACATGGTAGATTCTAGATGTGTGCCTTGCAGACAGGGATGTGACACTGCGCGCAAAGGAAGTGCATCTCACCCGGCCTTGCCATACAGAGCCATCATCAAAAGCACACTGCAAGAGTGCTGCAGCATGCCAGCAGTGCTTCGTCCAGTCCAGAGGCAGTCACACTGATAGCAGAATCTCTCGATTCATTCCACCAAGCCCAGCACAGGATGTCCCCCTCGCAGCGAGAGCACTCCTGGAAGGAAAGGACCGAGGACCGAGGACCCTGAGACGCCAAGTCCGAAGTCGCCGAAACGCGCCTTCGTGGGGCTGCACATCAGGAAGGTCTGATAAGTCGGTAGACGGGCATAGCGGTGCAAGGGCCGTCCTGAGCGACTTGACAAAACCTCCAACGACAGTTCTCAAATCCCCTAGATAATCGAATCTCGAGGACTGAACCATCCTAGCAGCTCAAAACTCCCACCCGAAGCCCTAACGATCTGTCAGAAAGAAATCTCGGTGCCCCGACCGCATTCGCAGAGCGCCCGATGGTTACTGCTTGACGGCTTCACGCCCTCCTCCACTCTCCTGCGTAGCTTGGAAGGCTTAGGGCTCAAGCCGGAACGCCGCACTGGCCCGAAGGTTTACTGTAAGCCTACAGCCAACTGCAGGCATCGGAGCAGCAGAGTGGAGCGAGTCACTCGCGAAGGACTTCGCTCCTTGTAGCCTCGTCCCAATCGACTTCGTCTTCGAGAACATCCTGGTGGGCTTGCAACAAGGCACCACATGCCATTGGCAATTGGGTTCTCCCCCTGCAGTATGCCAGGTACGGATAAACTCCAAAGGGGCTCGCCTCGTAAATTTTACAAGCCATGCTTTGCATCGGATCAACTGGAGCGAAGCAAACTAAAGAAGCATCAAGTGTTGCACTTACGCCTTCTGCAGGTAGCTGTAGCTGTCAAGGGCTGTGATTGGAAGCTAAGACGTCTGAACGGCTTCGGCCGTGATCTGGATGTGGCGTATGGGCTACTGAGTATTCACAACTCACAAAGTATAAGAGCCGCAACTCGCAGGCACTCTCAGGCTCTTCATTCTACTCTGGAGTCTTCATGCAGGACCGTAGCTTTGCACAACAGCTCCGGCGCTTTTCATCCCGCAAAGGTCGCGGCTTGTCGTGTCGAAAGGCCTAGCGGAAAAATGCCTTCGACATCCATCCACGGTAACACAAAAATATACGTTATCAACACTGATTTTGGAAACAGATGACTGCTTCATATGCTGGTGCTGTAGCCATGTATCTTGCCTCTGTGGCCGCATAACCTTCATGCCATGATGACGAAGGTCTAGTGCACCTCATTGAATCCAGTCATCTCTTCCTGACAGGCAGGAGCATCTTGCTTCATGGCATTCCAAAACACGGAACCACAATCGCGCCTGGCATTTAGAAGCCGTTACGTCCCCAAACCACGAGCGCAATGGACATGGAGAACATCGAGAGAAGCACCACCTCTGGCGACGTCGGAGTGAGATGGCAAAGGACCACTGCGACATCTAAGTGACCTGTTCCTGTGCACGAAAGTACGCCGATCTACCGTAGAAGACGAGATTTGCTACAGCATACAGAACCATCTTTCCTCAACTTTGCTGATGTAAAACACCATTGCTGGGCCCCCTGGGCCCTGGGCGAAGGTGATGTTCGGGTTCTCAAGCGGGGACAGATCCGCCAAGGCCACGCTGCTGGCAATCTCCGGGACCTGAATATGGGGATCTCACGGGGGGATTCTGGATATCTTGGGGATCTTTGTGCAACTTCGGGTGTCTGTATTGAACTCCCTTTGAACCCTGAGTTGACAGTGCGGTCCGCCGACCTGAGAAGTCGCAGAGTGCGCGGCGCCGGCCACTTCTGGAGCCTGCACGAAGGAGCGAATGCGACTCTCTCAGAGGGAAAATCCACTGCTCTTTTTGCTCTGCTTCGCTTGGGCACCTGGACCAGCGGACCCACGAAGGCCGGAGCGCAAAGCAGCCATGCCTGCGAGATGGACCGTCGTGATCAAAGCGGCCGTCGCCGGAGAAACAAGACAGTAGCAGGAGCAGTGTGCGTAAGAGCAACAGCAGGACAAGCAGAAGTAGGAGAGCATCGACAGGAGTAGTAGTAGCAGTTGTAGTAGTAGTAGTAGTAGTAGTAGTAGTAGTAGTAGTAGTAGTAGTAGTAGCAGTAGATACTGATTGTGTAGCTAGCAGCTAGCAGTTCGTGGTTAGTGGTTAGAAAATATTAGGTAGTAGCCAATGGGCAATAGTCGGATTTTGTTAGTTAGCAGCGGCGAGTAGTAGTGGTTTGTGTTTGGTAGTTGGTAGGTAGAAATTAGTAGCTAGTCTTTAGCTTGGATAAGTCAGTAGCAGCAATAGCGGCGGCGGTGGCAGGGGGAAGCAGAGCAGCAACGGCAACTCCCTCCACTGTCCGCAAGTTCCGCCGGGGCCCTGACGCACAAAGCAAGACCGATCACAGCCAAAGGAGAGCGTCGCCTGGAGAGGCGCCTACATTAGCCTGCCTCGTCAGTAAGCTTTTTCAATTGTAAACCTGTCTTGATCTCGCTGTGCTGCTTACATCCGCGACTGAACGGAGACGCTTTGTTGCAAACCACTCGGCCCGCTTCACAGGACGGGAATGCACTGTTGCCACGGCAGCCCTTATCCGATGCAACATGCTATTTATGGCCAAGTATGGCCAAGTCAGTCCTCTAGTGCTCTTTCGCAAAACCGCCTTGTTCGCTCAGATAAGCCCTGACTCAGACACAGACGCCATTGCAGATCTGCAGGAGGTCCAAAGGCTTCGGTACTTGAGGCGGGAGACGGCTGAGAATAGCGTCTGATGCATGCGGAGAGACTTGCAACAGTCGTAAACTCTCAACCCACTTCAGCTATGCCGATGTCATTGCTTTTGTCCTGGGAGCACCCTCGCTGCGCCGCAAACGCATGAGTGCAAGATTTGTAGAATTGATGCGCATCTCAGCGCAAGTGCAGCCTTCCACGGCAAAAGCTCCTCCTACAAGCAGTCTAGATTACCAGGCGCCTGGCCAGACGACGTCTATTCTCTGCTTCTTTGACATTCAGCTTGGTAGCAGGAGCGTGTCCCGACTTTCCGCTCAGAGTAGCCTGACTCCCTGCGCAGAGCACAACAGACACCAGCGGGTATGGGTTGTGTCGTGCGGCGTGTGTTCAGCCATGGCCTGGGCATTTAGAAGCCGTTGCGGCCCCAAACCACCAGAGCGATGGACATGGAGAACATGGAGAGCAGCACCACCTCAAAGACAGCGCACGCAAAACAACTAAGGTCCAACAGGCCGGTCGCATCCCGTCGCCGGTCGCCGCTTAGGCCCCGGCGAAGGTGATGTTCGGGTTTTCCAGGGGGGACAGGTCGGCGACGCTCACGCTGCTCGCGATGTCCGCCGCAGCCTGGAGCTCCGCACTCCGCGCGCGAGAGGCATCCCAGAAGAGGCCGCCGAGGCCGAGCCTGGGAGGCCACCGAGTGCGAGCTGGCGATCTCAGGAGCCTCAGAAATGACGAAAAGACCAAAACAAACTCCGCTCGAAGCACCGCCATGAGCCAAGCGCCTGCTGGATCATTGGGCCCAGGAAGGTGGGCGCACAGAGGAGCCAGCCCTCGGTGACCGAGTGGCCAGGTTGGGATCAGTGCCGCCAGGCTCTCGCTCTTGGGAATCGCAGATCGCAACACAGCTTCTCTTTTCCGCAGCTTTGGCGGCTTGCGTGCTAAGCGAAGAGGGGGAGTGGGCGGCTGAGCCGAGACTTCCTTTCTTTCAGCAGTTCAGCATCCGCCACTCCAGTGCTTTTGCAGGCTTAGGAAAATGGCACGGCTCTTCGCCATTGCGAAAAACGAGTTGGTAAACAAAGGACCCGCTGGCTTGGCGCTCAGCCAAGCAATGCCTCAGAAACTCATCACGGCAGCGAAACCCCAGTGCAGTTTTGCTCACAATTGGATCTCAGGCACCGGAATGTTGAACCACAGGGAAGGTGTTGTCGCCAACTCCACCAACGTCAGCGTGGGTTTCCTAAGTTCACTCAAGCATGGCTCGAGTCAGCAGGATTTGAATAACTGTCACCACCTGCTCTGATCTTCGCCACACCTGCAACTGCAACTTCTGTACCTCCGACGAAGTACTGTAGTATAAGATTCTGGTGATATCTCCCTTTGTGGTGCGCAGAGTTATCGAGTGTTTGACGAGCCCTACATGAGGAGTGCTTGTTTTCAACCTTCTTCAACAGCCCTGCCGTCCACGATCTGTAAACATCCGGCTGCGATTCCCTGTCCGAGTGGCTTGGCAAAGGGGAAGAGCTCTGCAAAGGCATCTCGCGGCAGCTCTTCACCACGCCTTGACAGAATGCACACGCGTTAGTGAATGGCGGTAGATGTCCACGTTAGTAAGAGACAAAAAGCTGGATCGCCCAGTACTCGGCGAGGAAGTGAATCTGCCGGATGCCTGTGACCTCGATATCGTCCCACCCTTCCGTGGCACCTCCCGACTCCACAAACCAAGCGAACTGTGAGCAATGTGAGAAGGGACGCGACCGTCCATGTTGCTGGCAAGTCGGTGAGACTATATTCTCTGTGGAGGCCGGGCGGCAAAGTTCCAACCGGGTATCAGCAAGCCCCAAGGATCCAGAGGTGCCTTGGCTGCTGGGCAGAGTTGATCTGCAGGGCAGGTGTGTACAGTACATGCGTTTTAAGCACTAACGGATGCATATCTGCAGTTCTACAGACTGTGGGGGAAGCGTTTCGAAGCAAAACCCCGGCCCATCCAAGTGACCTGTGGAGCTGAGCGTCCTTGCCCTGAACCCCTCTACTCCCAGTACTTTCTCTGAGATGCAGCTGGGTGGCAGGTCGACCGATCTCCTCAAAGAGCTGGTTCACCTCGAAGCGTCGAAGCAACGAAACCTTCCCTTCAGGACCGGAACCCGTGTAGAATTTTAAAGCCTCTTGCTCCATAGCTTGATACTACCTGATATGGTGATGCAACTGCATTGGTGTGGGCTTGGCGTCCTCAGTTCCTTCCTGTCCATAACTGGCGCGACCCGCCTTGTTGTAGAGGAACCATTGATTCAGATAGATCCAGGCAAAAGCACTATAAAACCTTGGCTCGCGGGCGGCAAAGATTGCAGCTCAAAAGTGAAGGTTCGATCTACTCAGCTTTGTGGGCACGGCAGGCAAGACTTGGGGGGATGACGTGAGATGCACGCTGGAAAGTACGAGTCACTTCAAGCCATGCGTCCCTCTACAACCTGTGAACCTCTGTCCGGAAATCACGGGGCGAGCTCGACGGCCTATGGTCAGTTCAACCCATCAAATTGCGACGGAATTGCGGATCGAGTGGATGTATGAGGCATGGGGGTTTGTAGAATGCTTGTGTGCGGTCCAGCTCTGATCAAGCACTGAAAACAGGACCAGCCCAAGGTCTGGAAGGGCAAGTGTCAAGGAGCTGGAGCAGTTGCTGCTCCATCTTTGAAGAAAACACTGATTGTGCGGGCCAAGACGGCTTGGTGAATTCGGTGTGTGTCTGTGTGTGTGTGTGTGACCCAAGTGGACTGGCCGGACCACCGTTCCGTTCGCTGCTGAAGCTGCCGTGCTGCGCGTGTCAATCGTTCATAAAATGATGTCCTGCTTGACTACTCAGTGACTATTCCCTTGATTTGGCAAAGGCACGCTGTTGAGAAGGCGTTGTCAAATAGTCCTCCCTCCAAGGCTCCATAAGCAAACCTTGGACACAGCTCTCCGATGTGCAAGGCTGGAGCTTCGAACTTGCAAAGGCCTTTCCTGCAGCCTCAAGAAATCTCTCTGCTCTTCAGGCCAGGCGCTCGCCAAACACACCTGCAGAGCAAGGGGTGGACTAAGAAACAGTCGCAAGGACGTGCAAGGACTCGCAGTCTCCCGGGCCTGCAAAGAGGCCCAAAGCGAAGGGGACGATCACCTCAGGAGCCGGAAATCCGTCTTAGACAGTCGCGGTTTATGTAGGGCAACTCAGTTTAGTTTGTGCGCTGCAGGGACACTCATGTTTCTGAAGTGTCACGAACTCTGGATAATCAAATATGAGGCATGGATGCGGTCCTGAAATAAGACTCTACGACGTCTTAAGAGGAAGAAGTGTCCTTTGAGCACTCTCCAAGGCACCAGCGAGCCGCCAATGCCCAAACCCCTATAGTAGCGCAGGTCATCTTCAACCAGCAGCTTGTAGTAGAGATACCTAGGGGGAGTTGTAGTAGAGATACCCTGGGCTTGGGGGAGAGTTTTCCTCATGAGGTTCATCAGGAGGTCCTACTCCTCACACCTGCGCACTTGTTACAGCGACGTGACAGCCGGGTTGCCAAATCACGCCGGGCCAAAACGTGGCCAGACACAACCAGCGTGCCCACATGGGGAAGCCCGCCTTCAAACTGTCCGCACGCTCTCAGGCTGAACGAGCCACGTCTTCTGCAACGCTGATGCGCCAGGGAGCTGGGGCAGTCTCTCCAGACTTGTCCAGGAAGACGGCAAAGGAGGGGAAAGCCCACCTGCGACGCAAATGACCTGCCTCATACTGGTTGCAGGAGTACTACAGACAGGAAGGGCTTCTGCAACAAAGCAAACGTCGACACGCTGGATGCAGCTGGGCGACATTAAGTCACGAGGCCTGGGCACCAATTGAATGCCAGCCGTGCCGAGTTTGTTGGCAACATCAGGACGTGAACGAGATTTCTCGGAGTTTTTTCTCTTGCCATTCGGTTCTGCTCAGTCTTGCCTAGCCAGCATCTGTCCGCTGTCCTCTAGACGAGGGACAGAGCTGTCTGCTGCGATTGTGCCTGCCAGCATCTCGAGTACATGGGGCACGCGGACGTTAAGTCCTGAACTGTTCTGGCAATATGATATGGCATCGGTTCGATACCAAGACCTCTTCCGATTTCCTTTGATCGGCCAAGCGAGAATCACACTCGCCACAGGCAAAGAACAAAACATTCCCTGTGGCCGGCGTGTAGAACACCATGGAACACCAAAGCAAATCCTGTGCTGCCGCCCGGTTCGCGAAGTTGCGATCGAAAATGTGAGGGCTTCGCCCGCGATCTAGAAAAGCGCAAAACGGCACACCGGGCAGCTTACCCACAAAGCAAAGTGTTTTCTGCTTTTTCTGGAACTTCAGAGGCACCACCAAATCCTGAGGGCTCTCTGATGTGCTCATGCAAGGTTGCCCGGGCTAACCTTGGTGACGAAGCATTGACATGATGGCTCCCTTCATCCCTGCAAGCGTCTTGAGCAGGCAAGCAGCTCACGCTGAGACCGAGTGCCTGTTGGCCCAGGACGCCTCCGACCCCAAGGAGGTAGCCTGAGTCTTCCGCCACAGGCACAAGCAGCTGCAACAGTTGGAGTGCGGCTGTCCTTCATCTCTTGCTGTCTCATTACCACTCACCTCGCTGCTTTCGGGGGACCCACAAGAGCAGCAGGTGCCACACTGCGGACATACCAGCCGAAGGATACCTCCTGAGTCGGAGAGTCATCACAGCTGTCTTACCGCCTGCCGTGGAGGCACATTTCGGCCCATCTGCAGGCGCCTTCTCCATGCCCATGAAGGCCACCCCGGCCGCCGAGCCTATCACCAACAGGGAGCCGCCTAGGCGACCGGACCGTCAGAGGCTCTGACGAAGGGTTCTGGGGAAGCCGCCACTTTAAAAACCTCTGGAAGCAACCTACAGGGACAAGGACTACAGTAAGTAGGCTTTCATGTCCGGGCCCCCCTGCCAGTGGCAGCGCAGTAGGTGATGAGGTTCCAAAGCCCATCGTTGGCGGGGTGCGCCGAGAGGTCGTACATTCCCTGGGTCGCCGCGACCAGAGGGACGTTGTCCACGACAGCGGAGGCAAAGCCCAGGAAGATGGCCACTAAGGAGTCGTCGGGAAGGAGCTGGCTGAGCTGCTCCGCGAAGTCCTTCAGCAAACCCACCCTCTCCAAAGCCCCCACCGCGAAGAGCACGCCCAGGAAGAAGAGTGCATCCGGCACCTCCACGCGCTTCAGCGCGCCCTTCAGGGAGTAGCGATCGTCCCCCGGCTCGTGAAGCAGGCTGGTGATGAGACCGAGCAAGCCCAAGACCAGCATCATCCCGGTCCAAGCGGGGCATTTCGTGAAGGCCGTGAAGACGGGCACCCCCACCATTCCCAGCAAACCACCCCAGAAGACCAACTGCTGACCGGCGGGCGCCTCTGTGCTGACACTCTTCTCTTTGCGCCGCTCGAAGGGTTTCCGGCCCTCGATCACGAATAGGAGCTCGTAGCCCATGGCGCCCAGCAAGCATAACGAGCTCGGGAAAAAGAGGTTCGTTAAGAGGGGCACGGTGGTAACCTGTCCGCCTCGCCAAGATGCACAAGCCCGAAATCAAAAACCTGCAAACCTAAGACACCAGCAGCAAGAAAAGCGTCTTCTCGGCCTCTACAGAGTTTCCTGTCGTGTTGGCAGCCCTTGCTTTTGGCGTCAACGTGTCCAAATTTGTTGGCTTTCTTTGTTGTCCACCACCCGCAACCCATCTGCACGTTTAGCATTTTGACCGGGTACGCAGCTGCAAGTTTCAGCTTCATCTCAGGCAGATTGCTGGCCCGACCGGATCAGTCTTTGGCAGCAGTTGGGTCCCGCCGCACTCCAACATTTTTGTCTGTGGGATTTCACTGGCATGGTGACTGTAGCGAAGCGGCTGGCTTGCTCCAGTAAGCCCTGTCTCTCACTACACTTGCCTTGACTTGTGCAGTGCTTCCCTTTACTCAGTAACTTAGTTAGTAGAGTACACGGCACAGCCGGGCGCCTATGTACAGCATGGTGGTAGTGATGTCCCCAATGGGAGTCCAGGCCCCACCAGCATTGGAGGCCACCACCACCAGACCTCCAAGCTTCATCCGAAAGTCATCGTCCTGCACAAGCCTTTGGAGCAAAGACACCATGACGATAACCACGGTGAGGTTGTTTAGCACAGAGGAAAGCAGGAAGGTGAGGAAGCCGATGGTTAACAGCAAGTCCCTCTGGTTGGTGGCCTTGATGGCTGAGGTTATTATGTCAAACCCTTTGTGCGCATCCATGATCTCCACAATGGTCAGAGCCCCAAGCAGGAAAAAGACGACTTCAGCGACATTCTGCAAGGTTTCTGCGATCGCCGTGTCGAACTCGGAAGCTGTCATGTCGATGCCTCAGGCGCTCTGCTGCGCTGCGCTGCTACGCTGCTATGCTGCTATGCTGCTATGCTGCGATCTCTTCCCGTGCTCCTTATGCTCCTTCCTGGCGCAGGACGGGATTCGTCAAAAGAGCCGAGGTGCCAGTGCCGACCAGGGCCCAGACCAGCACCTCGACACGTTCTTTGGGCAACATCCCAGAACAGAAGACCGGGAAACAAAGACCTGTGATAACCTGTGACTAAGTGTACCGGCCAGGGTGCTCCGAGTATCAAGGCCGTGGCTGCCTTATTGATCTCAGTCTGCTCCTGCAGGGGTAATTACTGCTGCTGGCAGCTGGCAGGGAGCAGGCAAAAGCAGCTTAGTTTGTTGCAGCGCTGTCCTCCAGGACAATGACTGCATAGCCTCGACAATCAAAAGCTGCACTGAGCAGTTGACATTTTCGTGTCTGTGGCCGGCCTGCCACAAAAGTGGCCACTATCGGAAAGTACTGGTACTGCGCCTCTGCCAAGAATGGGACAACAACCTCGGCCAAAGCGTCGTGTGCTGACTGGCCAAACACACAAACGGATGGAATACCACCTGCATGCATCGAGTCGCCCAGCTGTGCTGGATTGCAAACATCAGAAGCCTCAGCTCGCATCTCAAAGGTGACAAAGCCGTGTCAGCTTGATGTCACTCCTCCCCCCCTTCTACCCGATCAGGCTGCATCCCCTACTCCGAAGCAATTCTAGCCGGGGAGCAGCCAGGCCGCCAGGCCCATCAGCGCAGGCGGCACGCCGCTAGCACGCTCCGCTTTCTGCGCCAGCGTGCTTCCTCCTGGCTCCAAGAGTCCCCTTGAATTCCGAAGGCCTCCACTTTCAGAGTCCCCGTGGCCGTCCTCGCACTTGCATCGCTGCCGCCGCCACGATGGGCACCAGCGCCAGGCTCGTGGCACTCATCTTCGACGGCGGAGCTCGCCTGTGTGGCACACTTGCTTTCGATGGGTTTTTGTCTTGGAGTCTTGAAGAGTCACAACCCCGGCCACTCAGGCGAGGCGCGAAGCTGTGAGAAGGGCCCTGTGACCCTTCCCGGAAGGGGAGCCGAGCGTACGAGACCTGAGGGGCTCCAAACATCGTCTCCGAGAAAGAACTTAAACTGCACGAGATGTTTTTACCTCCTGAAGGTGTACGGAGCATTCACGAAACTCTGGAACTCCTCCCTCTCGCTGCAGTCCAGCAGGCCCCTGCGACGTCTCCACTGCATGGAATGTCAGGGCTGCCCGCAGCAAGGCCCAGATCAGGGCCAGGGGCGCCAGCGCCATGCCGATAACGCGAGCCATGCGCCGTGGCCGCAGTCGGGGCCCTCGCGGAGCGAATACGAGGGCTCTCGTGAACCCTGGCCTTCAGTGTCCGTCTTTAGATCCGTCTCTCTCTAAGAAGAGCGCCCTCGCCGAAAAGAGCCCCTGGGGACTCCCAATCAACGTTAGCCTCGCTTCCTTCTATCGCTGCACTCTGCAGTACTCCCCGCGCCTGTGCATCTGGACATGGCTGGGGTGGATCAAAAGCTCCTACTTGGCCGCAGGGCCTGGGCCCAAGCGGGGGCCTTTTCCCATCCGTTCCCTCTGAGCCAGAAGTAAGGCACAAAATCAAAGAGCTGGCTGGCGGCGACTGAGACATTTTTGCAGGCCTGCTTGGCTTAAGAGCCCCGCTCGGGCACCTCCTCCGCCTTTAGCGTTGGTTCTGATCCGAAGCTCGGTAGAACGAACTCTGGCCACGTTGTGTCCTCCACCAAAAACTAATAAACCAGGCTGCCTTCCTGCGCTACATCTGTAAACTGCCCAGCAGGCAGCATGCGACTGCGAGCCTCTTCCGTGGGAGCCGTGGCAGCCGCTACATCCTCGAAAAATGCTTACGGCTTCATGTTCACTTTTGCTGGTTGCAATGCCATCCGCTGGCTGATCGCGCCCCTTGTTGCCCTCTGAAGCGCCTCAGCACGGCGGAAGAGGGCCCCGAGGCCAAGCGGTATGGGTGACCCGGCAAGCACCTAAGTGCCGAACACCGTTTCGCAAGGACAACGGCAGCGGGAAGGTTGGCTAGGGACGTGGCCGAAAAGGAGGCGAAAGATGCCAGGCCTTCGACATCCAGCGCGCCGCGAGCCACGCGGCGGCCCCGAGGCAAGCTGGAGCCTTCAGGGCTCGCAGAGGGCCGAAGTTTCGAAACTTTCGGAGCCAGGCCTCGCAGTGAGACGAAGCTGCTCCCGGCCAGGGCCAGGACTCCCCTGTGATTCCCGGTCCCCGTCTGCTGCTTCCGCATGCTTGGACCATGGAGCAAGAGCATCTAAGAACGGGACATCGACAGCACAGCGAGCATGGCTGCCAGTGGCCTCGGGTTGATATGTCCACAGCCCAAAGCTCCGAAAAGTGCTGGTCCTGTCGACAACGGACCGAACTCTGAACTGCGCCGAACGGCAGCTACACCCTGCAAGCGAGTCAAGTGACCGGCGCCCGCGCAGCGCCGGCAAGCGAGGGCGCAAGCGCGCCATGGCTGCGCCCGACCGAGCTCCGATTCTCGCTAGGTGCTCGCATGTTACTGTTCGGTGCAGCCGGGCCAGATGTCATAAGCTCTGCGGCCTGTATCAGGCGTTATAAGCTTGAGGGCCGGTTTCTATAAAGCTACAAAGCAAGGCAGGGAGAGCCGAAGAGGCTCCTGGCCAGCGAACTATAAGGGTGCCCAAGGTTTCTTGAGTCTAGAGTCACTCTCTTCTCCATGGATTGTGGGGTGACAGGAACGGTCAAGAATCGTATGCGACCGCCTCGGTCCTGGAAGCTGGCTCGACCGAGTGCCTCGCAAACATGGCAAGGCCAGCAACGGCCAGGGGTGAGCGGCGCCTTGGCGCACGGATGCGCACGGCAACACCGAGACTGCGGAGGTGAGGCTACAGATGGCTGGGCCCGGCTAGGCCGCAGGCGCCATGGCAGAATCTAAGGGGGCCTTGTGCGGCGCGGTGGGAGGCGGGACACAGCTGACAGCTGCGAGGCGGCAAGTCGCCAGGGCACAAGCAGATCATGGACAGCAGAGTCTTCAGGTCCCGAGTGCAAAGGTAATTGCGCCCCAGATGCCAGATGCCTTCAGGCCTTCAGCGGCTGCAACAGGCATCTGCGTGGATCTTTTCTCCGCTCCTGGTTTGCCTGAAGGTGATTTTACCTCCTGTTCACCCCTACCCAGTCGTGTCCGTCCGAGCAGCTTGCGACAATCAAGAACACGCCCCTTCGCATGATATGCACTCTATGATTCTATGCTCGGAGGGCACGAAACCCGTGCTCTACTCAGGGCCCGCAGCCACCTGTCCGGCTCTTTGGACAAAGATCGATTGCGAACGCCAGGCAGTGTGAGTCTGAGTGCAATCTCGATCAATCCCCCCCCCCGAAAAGCGACCGGGCCTTTCGCGTTGTGACCTGGACTGCAACAAGAGACTGAGAACGGCTTCATTTTAAGTTTTGGGGGCGGTCTGTTCTGGCCGAAATGCTTGAACCACATGCTGTTGCTCACGCGATTGGAGCTTTAGAAGAGTTTGAGAGGGCTTCTGCTTCCGAAAGCTCCGCCACCCTGAATGGCTCAGCTCTGTCCCTACTTGGCGCTACTTGCGGTCGCCTCCGGCCAGACGATCGCACCGGCCGGCTGGAGCTTCATGAGTTCCTGGCGAAGCTTCCAGAAAGGCTGGACAGTCTCCTGAAGTAGTTTGTTCCCGAAGCTTGCAGGGAGAAGTTGGCGTGTGTGCCCTCTAGGCACCCCCCTCACTCTAAACTAGCTGGGGCTGATGTGAACATGTTTGCTCCTGCATGCAAGTGTCACTGAAAGCCTTTCAAGGAAGCGTGCAACAGTGTGGCTAGTTCGGCTTTTCACAAACCTGGTAACGGTGTAGGGCCTGTAGGGTTTGGGGCCTTAGGGCCTGAAGGATTATCGAGATTATGTACATGATGAAAGGGAATATACCTGCACAGGAAAATAGTCGAAACACCCTTTTCGGGAGAGTATTGGTTGGGGATGATGTGAAGGCCGCAGTACCAGATAGATTGAGACTGCGTGCAATGGGCCCAAAGCTGAACAAACGAAAAGAGTCGTTTCGGAGTCTCCACATGTGATTGGTCACGCTCTCCATCGACGCTATAATGGAATTTATGTTAGATGTCAACAAGGAGCTCCGCAAAACATGCACTTCATCTCACAGCCAGGAAGAGCTCCCACTGTTTCGGAAGCTCATCCAAAGCTGTTCTGAAATACATAAGTTTGAAGAAGGCAGAGGGTGATGCTGGCAGCTGAACGACAGCCAAAGGTCTCGTCAGTCGGATGTCAATCGAAACAGGGAAACTGTACGACAGCCTACCTGGCCTACCCGCGTGCACGGTTCCGGAAGCTCAAGGATGCCTCCGGCGGCTCCTCTGGCGGTGCCGGCAAGGGCGCGCTAGGATCGAAATCCTCGTCCTGCCCAGAGCTCCGCGCGGGGCTTCGTGGCTTGTCGCTTCCGCTTGAAGGCTGAAGGTCCAAAGGCACAAAGGGATGCACCGAGTCTCTTTGGAGAGGCTTTGTTCAACATGCATGCCTAATCTAGTGTATACATACACAGTAAAAACCTGCCTGCACAACGGATATATATATATATATATATATATGTATATATAAGACCGTATCTAGACTCACATGTGATAGGATCACACACCTCCGGGTCCGGTGGGATGTAATCCCAGTCGCTGCTAAAGTCCGGCGGAGGTCCTGATGAAGGGTCCCGGGCTCAGCACCGTCTGCTGTTTGTGCGAAACACAGGAACGTGACAGCTGCCACGACCTCCTGCTGCGGACATGAGATGACCCCTCCGTGCCTGGGAAAGGCCCCAGTCCTTCCACGTACATGGTCACCTGGTGCTCGGCACGAATTGCACATAACACTCGAAGGGAGAGATGCAGAACTGCATAGTTGGCAACCGTGGCTTCCAATCATTCTCTTTCAACTTCGCTGCTCGCGATGAGCTTGAAATAGCTTGAACTGAGACCATGGCATTTGTCTCATACTGCTCCCGCAAAGTGATAACAGGAAAGCCGTCCTCACATTTCAGAACCTTCCTGAAGAGAAGGTACCTTCATCGATACGTCTAGACCTCCAGCTGCTCCTCGTCCCTGGGAACGCCGGCAGGGAACTTCTCGGCCTGGCTAGGATTCAGTAGGGAAAGCGCTGTTTGCAGCCACTGTGCCTCTGGATTTGGGATGATGGGTCGCCCTCCGATCCGCCCATAAGGAGCTGGAGCACCTGAGGGGCGCCGAGCTGTTGAGTTTAAGCGTAAGCCAAAGAGGTCCATGGGAAGGCAGCAGTGGAGTTTTTTTGGCCGCTGGCAAAGCGCCTGTAATTCTAAGTCTATTAAAGGTCTAAGTCGGTCTTTCCCACTACTTGCGAATGTCTGCACCTTGGCGACGGGAACCTGAACACTGCGCGAGCATGAGCCCGCAAACTCGCAACATGCTGCGGGCCCCCCCTGTCTTATGACGAGGCAGATGCAAAGATCTTCACGACGAAGTGAAAGATTAAACAGGTACTGCGGGGTGGCCTACCGCTTGAAAAAGGAAACGAAGCCCGGAGTAGAAATTCCAGGGCAGGGAACTTGAGGAACCATTGAAATCAGTAACATCTGCAAGAGGACAGAGCTATCTTCACGCGTGTACTTTTGACATTTCGCTGGGGTGCTTCTACAGGACTCGGACAGTCTCACTGACTTGATGCGCTCTGAGCTCTGTCCCAACAGCACAGCACAACGACTACTGCGGGCCCTTCGACCCCAACGTGAGCACCTATCGCAGACGGTAACACTGTTCAACTGCCGGACACGACAGGGCTCACATGGCGATGCGCACAGGCTTCGGTCCACCCGGGACGTAAGTCGACTTCATGTACTCCATCTCCTGGGTACTTCAATGAAACACCCATCTACTGTCCCCATGGTCAGACAACGCCCGGTCCGGTCCTGCTGTCGGACTTTCTCTGCAATCTGCATCCTGCCTGAGATTTTGGACAAGGCATGACAAAGCAAAACCTCCTTGTGCCACCGGGAGTCGCGGCATGAGCAGGACCAGCGGACTCATTGACAAAAGAGGGTGAATCAGACGGTGCTTTGCAAAGCGCGGCAACCAAGATGCTGGGTGCTGCCGCAAGCTTCACCTTCGTCATCTGCTTCTCCTGACGAGGAGCAGGGCAAGGGCTGGGTCGAAGATTAAATTGCTTTGTCCTGCCTCGAGCACTGCACGAGGCACCGCAGGATTCGTGACAAAGTCCACCTTACCCAACCTGTCGCGGTGGCTCTGCTCGATCTCTGGAACATCGCAGGTTTAACGGAGCGACACAGGCCATGCGCGATCGTGCGCGTGAAGACGAAGACCGCAAGGTCCTGCCTCGAAGTGGACGGGTTTGCGTAGCCGGCCTTCCGACGGAAACCATGGGAAACCCGCTGCACGAGTCCGAACCAATCAACTCTTCTCCCAAAACCCGTTGCGAGACCGCAAAAGTGCTCAGGGCGCCTGGGCCCCAGCAAAGAGGGCGCAGGCGACTAGGGCCAGCACCGGGGAAGCCCAGCTGGGATTCCACTCCGCCTCTGGCGTCGAAGCCTTCAGGGAACTTGGGTTTAGGGCTTGGGGGTTTCGGGGAGATGGTGCACTTCTTCGACTAGAGTCGCAACCCCGAGTTTGTTGCGCTAGTCCCAAACCCGCCACAGTCCTTTGCATCTCCGCCCTGGTGCACTATGTCGATGGTTGGATCTATGCTAGCATTTGCAGTATCGGGGGGGATACTGTAAAAGAGGGTCAAAAAGAGATGAGAACCCCCAACAAGAAGCTTGTGCTGAATACATGACACCCACATATACCATTTGTCCTGTTCACTGATCCCTGGACAAGACATGATACGGAAAAGCTCCCACCTCCGCGATCTCAGAGGCCCTTGTGGTCATGTGGCGGGGTGCCGAAATGGGTCCGGGTGCCGGGACGAAGGCGAAGGCGAAGCAGGCTGTCACCTGAACACGGCCCGCGAGCTCCAGGCCCTGGGGCCTGGAGCCTTCCTGGAGCCTTCCTACAAAAGCCTGGTCGAGGCAGCCGAGATGCAATGAAGAGAACCACGCTCATTGCACGGGCCATGTTGTTTGATTGAGGGAAAGGGGCGGTCGCGGAATTTTGCCGATGCCAAGGAGCCAAAAATGCTGCAAGCCCTGGTATAATACCATGCCTTCCTGGGAAGCTTTGTTTCAAGCTAAAACAGAAGTTCAACTGGATCAGGCCACCCTCAACTTGCCAAAGGCCCCGACGCCTTCGCATTCCGGGAGCAGCGAAAGCCTGCTGGTCTCAGGAATGATGATTTGGACTTTCAGTCGGATTGGTGCTTGCGCCCAAGCCAACCCATGGCCTGCACATCCAGTAGCTTCGCCAACCCCGCGACCTTGCAACGTGCCGCACCAGCGCTCACGTGGTGCGAATCTGTGCTTTTTTCCCTCTGAAGCTCCAGTGTCCACCTTCTTAGCACGAATGCTTGGACCTACTAGGAGCTAGGGCAGCTAGGGAAGCTGCAAGGCTTGCTCTCTCAATCTCATGGTGACATGGGTGCCCTGCCAAGCTCCGAACTTCTCCATGTCCTCGAGCATCTCTCGTGCACTGGGCCCATCGCCGGCATAAACATACGCTCGCAAGAGCTCCTGGTAGGTCAGTCCCGAGGGTTGGACGCCAGAGCTTCTCATCTCCTCAAGGATCTTCCTACACTGGCTCGGGTCACGTCGATGGCAAGAGAGCAGCCCTGTCCATGTGTCACATTCAGCTTGGATGTTGTAGTGGGGCAGCATCTCGAAGACTGACCTGGCCGTCTCTGCCAGCCCATCCTTTGCACATGAGATGATCAAGGCGTTGAAGTGATTCCTGTTCGGCTGCACACCTTTGGATGTCATATCCATGAAGAGCTCTCGCACAGAGGCATAGTCGCCAAGTCTGGCATAGGCCCACATCACACCAGCATAGCTTGATTCCCGGCTTGACATATTCGCCTCTGCAACAACAGCTTCGGGAATGCTGTCGAAAGTCTCTCTTGCTTTCTCGGCCATTTGGACCGTTCCATAAGCCGAGATCATGGTGTTGTAGGTTATGAGATTTGGTGATACCCCATTCCGCTGCATCTCTTCGAAGAGTTGCTCCGCTTGATGCACCCGTTTGGTGTCAGCGTACATCTTGATCATCGTCGTATAAGCAACGACGGATTTCCAGTCATGCTTCATGTCTGCCCAGAGCGCCTGAGCTTCCTCCGTCCAGCCAGCTTTGGCACAAAGATTCAAACCGACGCAATACTGTACTTCACCCTCTTTATCCAGTGTTCCGAAGAGCTGCCACGCTTCTTGGAACCGTCTGGCCTTGACGAGGCGATCAATCTGACTCGTCGCTTTCCTAACTTCGGCGCTGGCGGTGCTCTCCGCCGCGGGTCGCAACGTGCGCAAGTCTTGTGCTCTGGCAAAGTCGCGGCTGACCTTTAGGCTCTCCCTCTCCTGGCGTTTCAGCTGTGCCGCCTCGATGCTGACACCACGCTGCGCGCCTTGCTGTGCACGCAGTGCCGCGAGGGGGAAGGCATGACATCTCCGAAGCATGTCGAGTAAGTTGCTGTGAATCAGAATGGCATGTTGGATCTTGTGCAACAACGATCTATCGCGGACCCTCTCAAGCTTGCAGCAGAAATCAAGGACTGAGATGGTCCTACAGTACACCTTGAAGAGGCTCCCTGATCCTGCAGGCGTCAAAACTGCGGTGGATTCGGTAGACTGAAAATGCAACATCTTCCGCGTAGTGTTCTAAGGTGGCCTCTAGATAGCAGATGGTACAGAGTCACTGAGCTTCCAGGCCACTGCAACAGCGCAGGTCACAGCGAGAGGCAGAGCCAGGGGCGAGCGGCGCCTACAACTCGCTGGAATCCCACATGTGATGGATTGGGTTTTCAAGGGACCACGACCCTCCACATAGTCGCACAACGGAGGTGCCTACGACTACACACAGACATTCTAGTAGTCGACATCTGCACCTCCTCCTCAACAACTACCACCACCATCGCACCAGCTGAAGTCGCACGATTGTCTTAGATCTCGTACCCTTCCAATGCGTTCTCTGCATGCCCAAGAGATGACATATGCTTTATCTGATGCCTCAAACTGCCCATCCGAAGTCCTGAGAAGAGCATGGCATGCGGAGCTGAACGTCCTGAACACCTCACATCACCCCTGATCGCTTTGCAACTTGCCTCTGTTTTTTCTGCTCTGAATTGTGCGAAGTCAGGAGTGAACAGAGGTTGTCGTGTCCCTGACCCCGCCTTTCTCGAGCATAATCACGCTCTGCCATTTCTTCCAGCTGCTTGTTGCACAGAGTTCCTAATTCCAGCCCTTCTCTTTCCATACTTCCTGATGTGAGCAGGGCACTGAGCTCAAGCCTGCGTTCAAGATTGGCCTATGCATGTTCGAATGGCTTTCCGGAGACTCCATGACATGCTGAAGTTTGAACCGAGAAAATTGAGGCAGAGTAAGAGCGCACAGAGCTTCAGCCCTGACGGCCTGTGACGGAACTACAGTCGCGGGTCCAATCGCGCTCCCAAGCTATTTCTCCACAGTCGCCGTGGGGCAAGGCAGACGTCAAAGTGATCTCTGCCCCGCGCTGTGCTGTACAGAGGGCGAGCTGGTGTCCGAACTCGGCAGGCAGGGAGGCCGCGGGTCGCTGTGGGTCTGCGCACGGGTTCAGGGTGCCGTGCTACGCTGAAGCTCACGCTAGGAGGCCTTCGAAGGTCAAAGCTAAAGCTGGCATCACATACAGTAAAGTGCACATGTGCCAGGCGGGTATGGTCTGCTAGGAGTGCTGTTGCAGAGTGTTTCGCTGTCGGTTCGGCAACGAGCTTTTTGCTACAGAAAAGCAACAAACTGAAGCACTGGCCGAAAACTATGGTTTCCTCTGTTCAGGAGTATCAGCAGCAGCAGTGGCTCTGACGTCTTGCCCTGTCGGACAAACTTTTCTTGGATCGAAGAGCTACGGACTCGCAAAGTGTGTTTGGATGAGAAACATCAGCAACTTCCTAGGATCCCACTTCAGAACCAACTCTACGGACATCTGCTTCGTTGCAGTGAAGGGTCTTGCTTGCAGGCCCCTTGTTCGCAGGCCCCCAGCGGCATTGCGACCGTGTAAACGCCCCTGGGAGGAACAGTGAGCGTCTCCTGCCGAGCGCCAACCGCGTCTGTTTCAGATTGACAAGTTTGTCAGCCCAGAACCCGTTGTTTGGATGCTTGGAACGCCCACACAAACCAAGTCAATCACGAATTCCTACAAAATCAAGCGCTGACGAGTACGTCTCTTGAACGGCCGCTGGACTGGTGAGACTCCGCTCGGAAGCAACAGGCGAAGAGGGAGACAGGAAGTCGCTGGGCCGCCTTATCCTTTAAAAGCAGTCTTGCTCTCCCTTCTTCGATTTATGGTTGCTTCCGCTGCGGCGGCTGCCAAGTTGCCCTCGCTGGTAGGGGGGATGCTGCTGGCAGTAAGAACAAAAACATGCTTGCCGCACCTCGTGCACGCAATACATGAAGCAGACGAGGTGCGAATTCTGTCTGGCTCAAGCCAAGCCAAACTGTTATTTCCACGATGCTGAATGGAGATCTCTCCAGCAGAAAAACATTCCTGGGCATTCGGATTCCTTGCTCTCCTGCGTCAAGGGGTGTGACCCATGGCGGTCACTGCCACACCTGCCGAGGCTAGAGTTTTCGCCTTGAAGCCTTTGGCACGAAGCAAGCACGCACTCCCTCACTGCTAGCAGAAGGTTTGGGACTCACTGGCGGACCTTCTCTTCAACATCGCTCTTGTGGTTTTGGGCCTCACCTGAAGCAGAGCAAACTCTGGCCGCATCTTGAAGACCATGAGTCTGCCTTGTACCTAATGTGCTGCCAAGTCTCAACTCTGCATCACCTGACAGAATCGCAGCCGCTCTACATAGGGGGGGTCTAGAGGAGAAGATCCAGGAACAAATCGCCCAAAACACGACCTTCGCCATGATGCTGTTGGTCATCTTGGTACGTCGGATGGCGCGCCTCGGCTCCGACGTCTCTCGAACCGTTTGTTACTAGCACCTCCCTCTTCGACGAGCTCGGGCAATGCACCGGTGTTTCATAATATTCTCTTCAGCGTCGACTTCATGCATCTCCTATGTGAGTTGCTCTGGATCTGCTCAATTCTTTGTGTACCCAATATTGGATCGATTACTCGCATCCTTCGCAACTTTCAGACGCGACAGGGTTGGGAAATGGTGCGTTCGCAAGACCTCACCCGACTTTCGAGCTGCACCACGCGTCGTGAAGTTTTTCTTCACACCGAATCCGTATGCTATAGCTGCTATGTGGCCTTTCGCGATCCCTATTCCGTGCTCCAGGCTGCGCAGGCGGCTGCGCTGGGATGGGCCTTGGCTAGCACTGCAAGCTTCCCTGTGCCGCTCTCGTTGTACCTCAGCCCACGCTTAGACAGAAGCCCATGCTCCGGTTCGGCCGTTGGCTGTTCGTGGCGAATCATCCTGAGATTGCATGAACCCATGGCAGCACACGGGAAGATGAAACCTCGCAACGTGCAAGATCGTGCAAGCGAGATGCTGAAGCAAGTGCTGACCGGCCATCCTTACCACATGCGACATGCATCTATGCAATGCAACGATGCCATGCAGGAGGGACAGGCCCAGGAAGCAGAATTCCACTTCTTGTCGAGGTGCTGCCCTGAGAATTCCGGTGTGATTTCCGGATCCGGCTTCTGCTGCAGCATTTGCAGAATCGGGCTGGTCCTTCGACGAGCCGCACAATGGTCTAGAAGCCAGCAATCCAAATTCAACTCCCGTCCTGGCAGCCTCTGCAACATAGCCGTCGGGGGAGCCCTCTCCAGACTTCAAGCTCACTAAGCACCGGCAAAAGCTGAATCTACTTCGCTTCGCTCCAAGCGGGTGACGGCGGACGATCCCAAGCATTCCGATGCAACGCCGCATCTAGAAGGCCTCTGCACCACTTCGGCGGCGAAGCTTCTCCTGTAATCTGGAAACTTTAGCTGCACGGAGACCAGGTGATTCAAGCCTGAAGTGCCTGAAGGACCTAAAGTTTCCT